ACACCAGAAAACAGGACAAAACTAGATTAATTATATTTTCATGTTTAAATTTTTGTATAGTATTGGATTGATACATTTGTTTCATTAGTGATTTTTGTGAAGTACAGCAGTCTTACATGAAGTTTTCAAATTTTCTCAACAAAATTGTTAACCATAGGAATGCAAGATAAGCTCAATCAATTTGTGGAATTTTGCAGTTGTAGATAATATGCTATGTGGCTGTTTATATTGATGTTTTGACTAATGTTTATGTAATAATATGCTGCCACTTCACAATTCTTAACTGCTATTTATTAAGCCCGTCACAGACGTAGCTATAATATATATTAATATATCGAAATATATATTATATTATAGCTAACTACCACAGACGGGAGCTATACTATAATATATATTTTGCCCTCACTCGATCTGCGGTCGTTTTTGCAAGCGCACGGTTTTAAAGCTTATTTTCTAGCACAGGGTGTTTTAATTTTGAAATAACGTTATAATCGATCTTACCGAAATGAATTGGACAAGAGCACTACTTTTAGATTTAATTGAAAGTTCCTCAGAGGATGATTCCGATGCTGAATTTGATATGCATGTTGCCTTGTCAGGAACGAAAAATAGAAGTTGAACATTCCGTATTATACTAATATGCCAAAATATATCCCGTCACAGACGTAGCTATATATATTTATATATTGAGATATTTTAATATACAAACTACCACAGACGGGAGCTGTACTATCTATACTTCTATACTAATATTAAAAAGCTGCAGAGTTTGTTTGTTTGTTTGAACGCGCTAATCTCTGGAACTACTGGTCCGATTTGAATGATTCTTTCAGTGTTGGGTAGTCCATTTATCGAGGAAGGCTATAGGCTATATTTTTTTCTTTCAAAATTAGGGATCCGTAATAAAATAGCTATTTTGTAACACAAGGTGTAAAATCGAAAACCTATTTTTGCGTGCGCTGCAAAAACTATTGACAATAGAACAAAATGATGTACTACGGGTTTGTAGATCCCATTAAGACCTACAAAAAAGTCTGCGAGAACATATATCTAGCTATCATGGTTTAATCACAATAACCGATTTTGTGTTCAAAATAATTATTACATCGTCTGAAGAAATAAAACTACGTTAAATATGTATCGTAATATTAATATTTATCGAAATTAAGCACATTATGTTATCAAGAGTATTTATGTAGAAGTAAAATACTTCTTGTTTCATCTCAATCGGATATTTCGTTTAAAAGTTATCATGTGTGTAAGATGTTAAGAGTTGGTACCTATTTATGAGTTATGGGCCATAGAGTTTTTTATTAACATAAAATCCTGTAATAATCTTTTTCGAAATATATTTGTAGATGATTGTAAGTATAAGATCTTTGAAGAATATAATAAATACATTTCTAAAATAACTCTGCTAAGGAAATCCACGCGCGCTTGCTTGCATATTTTGTCTCGGTATTTCCACGGAAACGAGAAAAACGCGGGTGAAACCGCGGGGCACGGCTATAATATATATTTTGGCAGGCGTTCGGTGAAAAATGAAACATACCGTATCATATTAATATATCAAAATATATATTAATATACCAAAATATATATTAATATACCAAAATATATATTAATATGCGAAAATATATCTGTCGACATATTTTGGTGACGTCACAGGAATATATATTATAGCTGCGTGTGCGGTCACTCGAAAATTTATATTGAAAATATGTTGTAATATGTCTTGCTATGATTCATATTAATATATATTATAGCTACGTCTGTGACGGGCTTTAAAGTTGACAACAGTCTTATACATCCCAAGTATATACTGCTATCAACTATACAAATAGCAAATATGAATAGCTACATGAAGCAGCTAGCTAGCATTATTCCTGACCTTACCAACCAAGCTTATTTTCTTATAAACATTCCAATAACTTTTAATTATGTTTTGAATTCATTGAAGTTAAGCAAATTTGCAGTGGTTGGTCATTGGATGGGTGACCAAAAATCGTCTATCTCGAGTTCCGCCATGCTTCGGAAGGCACATTAAGCTGTTGGTCCCGGCTGCATCTGCAGTTGTTAGCACCCATTAATCCACACTGGGCCTGCGTGGTGGGGCACTGCTCAATCTCCCTAATCCATCCATAGGCAAGGCTTGTGCCCCAGCAGTGGGCATTAATAGGCTGATGATGATGTTTTGAATTGTTTTTTTCTAAAGCTGTTCTAAGCAATTATGGATGATTGCATTTTTTAAGCACCTTTGACAGTTGTTTCATTATTTGCAAAATTAGAAATCTATGATATTTCTCACATAGACTTATGATTTTGCTGATAGTTTAATCCAAGGTTTTTATTACTTTCAACAAATAAAATCAGTTTCTACGACTTGCATGTAGATAAAGTTGTTTTGTTATATAAACCATTAATTCCCGTTTTATGTAAAAGAAGACTTAGGCTGAGCGCAGATTAGTCACGACAGTTGTTAGACAATCTTGTCTTACATAGACGAGACAGCTTTACAATTAAAAAGAAACAGTTGTGTCTACCACAAGGCACACACCAAGACGAAACTGTTTTGTCTACGATGCGACGCACACCATTTTCATCAGTATCAGAATAGATTTCACCGATTATTTATTTTATAGAAATTAAGGCACCAGCCCAGAAAGTTTTACCAGTAATTTCGAATGAATGTATCAATCTATCTTTGATAATTTGTCAAAATTTATGGACCCACATATTACTTATTTTATCGTATGTATATTATACTTTCTTTCAGTATCGATTATCATCCCTAATCGCTAGACAATTTTGTCGTTGGTGTGCGCCCTCGCATACATTACAAAGAGAAGCGGACAGTCGTTAGTCAGACTTGTCGCTTTGCAGTTCTTGTGTACATAAGACTTTTTAGTCTATGAGACGTCTCGTTTCGAATGTGCGCATCTTCATAATTTTTGTTAAGCAATAGTCTGTCTTGAGACTGTCGTGACTCTAATCTGCGCTCAGCCTTACTGCTTTGTTGACAAAGATCAAATTGTTAACTATTTTTGATCTAGTTGCCTTAATAAGATATAGATATAAGATCTTATGAGCATTAATGCATTCTCCATAGAAACAAACTTAGCTGTTTGTTAATTTCTAGCAAACTATTGAGCAAGCTGTTGACAAATCAATTTCTTCGATAATCTAACAAGGGAAAAATCATGAACATTCTTAAGTTACTATCTGTGATCTTTTAGAATATCAAAACTTGATGCTGCTGTGCTGTGCTACAGATTATAACGTTTTGTTAATACTATATAATACCAAATAAATGAATTATATACACTATTCCTTTTATTATAATGTTACATTAAGCATTAAACTGCTAGATTTATAAATCAAAACAAAATTGTTGTAGTAAAAAAAAATCTTGTCCAGGTATTAACACAGGATTCAAATCTGCACCTTGTGCAAACCGGACAGCCTAGTTTTTTTTGGGTTAATACAATCACAGTTGTTGAAGTAGTTTACTCTCTGAAGTGAAGCCACTAGGTGTGACAATGACGATACGTTACAGAGCTGTCAAAAATTCATGCTTGGCCACAGGACGCCAAACCAACAGCGCTATTGTTATTTTTAGCACAAGGGGCCGTTCAAGTATTGCGTAAGCGGATTTATTAAAATTATTTACCCTCCTTCCCCTTATCAGCAAAAGTAAGCAAAACTCTTGTCCCAGGGCGCCAGATTTGTAAATACGCCCTAGACGTTACCTCTTCATCTTAAACCACCGATCCGATTTAGATGAGATATAGTGATACCTGGAAATGACATAGGATGATTTTTATCCCTGAAATCATCCTGAAAGGGATCAGTGTGTTTTTATGGTTAATCAATTTTGCCCCCACTATTTTTTAATAAAACTCCCATTATGAGGAAGATTACTTTATTTTTGCAATCATCAATACATATATAACTTAAATAAAAAGTATAACATTTCGTGGATCAAGTTCCTTAGACAGCTATTTATTTTATTTGTGCATAAGAATTTACACATGATGATATTTTATAAATGGGAATTGTGTTGACTACCTGCATAATAAATGTAATATAAAAAATATATACTAAATAATAATAGAACTTTAGGATTGCTTAAGAGTTATAAACTAGCAATACTTATATTAAAAAATAATAGTCGGAATAAAATATGTAGCTTAAATGTAAGAACATTAAATTTACCACTATAATTATTTCCAGGGTCTGTAAAAAAGTTTCGGGTAAAATTTGTTCTAACCTGATATTGTAATAAAAAATGAGAGTTTAAAACACTTTTGCAACTAATTAAAATTATGTCCCAGAATGTAAAGTACCCTGACAAGTTTGAATAAAGTCCAGCCCTCTGAGTATGACCACCGATATATACAGATATGAATACAGCGCATTATATGACTGCAGTACTGTCAAAATTAAATTGATTTTAAGACCTAAAAATTATTTTCGTTTTATTAACACCAGCCAAGACTTCTGTTATATGCTAGGAAAGTTTATAATAGATATTTACTATTATGATGGTTAGGTCCCCTACAGAAAAATTACAAAAATAGCTGCTAATTTTGTGATCAACTAAATCATTGCAACAATGATTATAGTATTGTTCATAACAATGGGGTGCTAGTACCTAAAATGTAAAAATAAAAAATAATTGATCCAGCATATCATATTATGTTGTGGTGATCATGCCATGGGGACCGAGTCATTTAAAGAATGTAAATAATAAAACAATGAAAATGCAGAATAATGATCCATATCAATTCGTCCAGTTAAATTCTTAAACTACCTTATACTAAAAACTTACAGTAAAATCAATATGTCGCGCCTGCAAATTCAATTATGTAAAACAAAAGAAATCTTTATCGACATAACATTTCTATATAACAAAATTCACTTTGCAGGTGCAATATTATAACCATCCAAGTGATGATTTTTCAATCCTCTGATAAAATTTGAGTAAATTCAATACATTAAATATCATTTTTATCTAGGGATTGAAAAACTACCCCAAAGTCAGTATAAATCACACAAATGGCAATCATCAACAACATAACATCCATCCCATATTCACTCACTGGCATATTACAATTCAACATTAACATTTCACTTAACATTTTTCAGTTCCACTTCAAAGACTAATGTAGAGTTAGGTGGAATAACTGGAGGAGATCCTTTAGCACCATACCTGCAAGAAGAAATTTAATGATAGATAGTATATAACATTTTTTACTGAGATCGCTGCAATATAACATGTGAATTAAAATAAAAAAAAGTTCAGGAAGCTAAATATTTACTAGAGGGTGCCCGCGACTTTGTCTATATGGTTCCATTGAATTATACTTCTTACACCACCCTTTCCATCCCCTTAAAGGATGACGTCTGGCATAAAAACTATTGTATGTCCTCTCCCTGGACTCAGTTTGAGTTAGGCTTGTTGAAATTATATCGATGTACCGATATGTCGATATTTTTAGCCGATATATTTTGATTCGATATATCGATACATAATAATCAATATCGAAATTCGTATCAAAAACGATATTTATTTTAATTATTAGCGGCATATCACGATCTAACTAAATTCGTATCTGGAAAAATCGTAACTGGATCTCAGATTAACGATATTCAACATATCTATGATCAGGTATTTAGTATTGTCTATGATTTGTAAATCTGTTTCGCTGGTGAATTGGTCGTGCTGAACTTCATTCTACTATGTGGAAGTGTGTGACTGTCTAGTCTTGTTTACGAAAGATGGCACATGAGAGGCCCTGCAATCATTTTCATCATTAAAAAATAGGGTCTATTTATAGGGAGATAATTTTCGTTCCATTATTATTCCGCTTGTCTTTTTCGTGAGATACTGTACTGTCATGTAGTGTAGCGGCAATTTGGTACTTTGTTAATTCTTTCTTTAATTATAATTTATATTGTTATTATTACTGTGCTAGGCTGACCTAAATATATTTTTGGGAGAATTGGTCCGATATATCGATGTTTTTTTCGCGATATATCAAAGCCGATATTGATATTTTTTTAAATATCGATGTATCGATATATCGATATTTTTTTAGACTTTCGATATCCCTAGTTTGAGTCTCTGTACCAAATTGCATCTAAATCGATTCAGTGTTTTAAGTGTGAAGAGGTAACAGACAGAGACCATTTCGCATTTATAATATTAGTATGGATAAAGTAATGATAACATGAAACACTCATAAATTTGGTATAACCAACTAGCAGTCTATTGATTATGATTTGATTGCTTTTAACAAGATTATGATTAAAGAAATGATTTTCAGTACACATCATAATCTTTATAACTAGTGACCGTCCACGACTTTGACTGTATTTTTTTTTTTAAATCCCTCTGGAGCTAAGCACTGTCCACCGCATTCCAAAAAAATCCTCAGTAATAAGACCCTGTCATAAACTGTATGTGTACAAAATTTCATCAAAATCCGATTTTTGCGAGATTAGGTAACATACCTCGCCGACCTCCGTGGTCGAGTGGTTTGTACGCCGGGTTTCATGGTGTCGCCGACTCGAGAGGTCCCGGGTTCGAATCCCGGTGGGACTGATGTTTATGTAATGAATACAAGCATTTGTACTCCAGTCATAGATGTTTAATATGTATTTCTATATAAATATACTTGTATATGTATTCTATCCGTTACCCTAGTATCCCATAACATAAGCCTAACAGCGCTTACTTTGGGGCTAGGCTAATTGGTGTGAGTGTTGGAAATATTTTGTATTATTATTATACCTACAAATTTTCACATTTATAATATTAGTAAAATATTTAAAAACCACATACGCCATGGCAGGCGGGCACACGATCTTCCTCTTGCCGCCGACCTTCATGCCGGAGATGCCAATGTCCCAACCGGAGATCACCTCCTTCGCCCCCAATTTGAACTTGAAACCAGGGCCTTTCAGGCAGTTGTCGAACATTTTGTTGTTTTGCTTCAATCTTCCCTCATAGTGAACCTATTAAATAGAAGTATCATCATCATTTAACCATAGAACCCACTGCTCAGCAAATAATCATTGTCAAACAAATATCTGCTATGTCCAAAAAATTTAACTTAAGATCTTTTATCTTTCTCAAAAATTGCGATTTATTGCAAATTATGTGAAAGGGTTCACATAATTTGCAATAAATCGCAATTTTTGAGAAAGATAAAAGACGTTTTGACTGCTTCCAATAGAAGTAAACAGTAGATTTATTCTTCCTATTGAAAATTAATGTAGAATATTTTCATTTTTTTGTACTGATCGTTCTACCGCAGCTAGTTTACGGAAAAGACGATAAAATGCACAACTTAAAACGCCTAAATCTCACAATAATGTTCACTAAATTAGATCAAATTAATTACTACTACATCAGAAATATGTTTTTGTTGCAACATAATGTATTAGAATCTTGATTTTCCATCTCATTAATTATTAAAAAAACATCTAACCTCCGTGAGTTTCCCCAAAAAATAACGCAGGTTTACCTCGTATTTTGAATTAAATAGAATTACTATAAAAAACTTTCATAAAACTAATCTACAATCATTGAACTATTGAAACATGTATATATTTTTATAATATTATTATTTTATAAGACTCTGAACATCACCCGTAAAATGCAATATATACTAGTGCAAATCTAGGCGCCGTTCAGTACGGCGCCAGCGCCTTTGGAGGTCGGACCTGTGTCGCTTTGTACCGCACGCGTCCCGAGCAATGCTACGAGTGCATTCATCGTAAAACTGGGGGCCAATCGCCTAACGGAAATGCTTTGGAAAACGCTAACGCTTACGATTTTATTTTGTTATGTCTAGCCGCCTGAGGTATTCAAATGCTTCGCGCTCTTTCTTTTTCTTTTGCATTGGTAATAACAATATTAAAAAAAATGAGCGTGAGGTATTCGAAAACCTCAGGCGGCTAGAAATAACAATATAAAATCGTAAGCGTTAGCGTTTCCCAAAGCATTTCCGTTAGGAGATTGGCCCCCTGGCTGGATATACTACGACCGCAAAACTTTAATCGTTGACTGTATGAAGTTTCCACAACCGTATTAATTTTTATTATTAGAAATACCTCCCTAGTTTTTAATTATCGTTGCTTCAACTAATATTTTTGTTATTAGCTTTTACAATGGGGCGTAAAATTTCTGCTTACCATTGTGTCAAAAAAAGAAAACGAAAGAATGATGCGGCCATAAAGAAAGCTTGTGAAGCAAGGTGAATATGCTTATAACATTTCGCTTTATTTTTAAAGCCTTTAAAATGCCATTAATTGATAAAAAAACATGTTATGAAAGTTATTCATCATTAATTTCCTACAACTTCTGCATAAATCTTTTTTTTACTAAATAAATACTTTTATAATGCGATTCAAATAAGAATAGGAAAGCCAATGACCTCCATCTGTCAAATGTCGCTTGAAAAGTACAGTTTGCAAAAAAAACTCAGAATACTTTTTTAGCACTCAGCTAATTCTAGAATAAAAATCAAACATTTTTAAACAAACAATAACAAATATTGATAGTTAATATTGGTTGATATTTTTTTTCATTTATTGAGCTTTGGCTATGAATGGTTGATAACCTAAATCGTCAACTAAATGTCACTTTATGTTCCGTTCAGAAACTCAATTTAATACTTTCGTTTACATATAGGATGCATGTTCGTATGTGACCTGCATGATTATTCATAACTACTCCGGTGGTAATGCAGAGATGAGCGGAATTGAAGAGCTAGATTCTAATTTATGTTTTTTCTCACACAGTGTTAGTAAAGTATTATTAAAAATCGGTTTTAAATTACATTTTTTTGCAATTAATTGATAACAATCCATCACAAATCATCATCAGCTTCAATTTGTATGAAAGTAAGTGAATTTTTCGGATACTTCTGTAATTTCATTTCAATGCCCGTTTTTGCGCACATTAACGACTATTAACTTGAAAAGTATTTATTTAATAAAAAAAATATACAAAGCTTGTAGAGAATTCAATCACGAATAACTTATATACGACGTTTTTTATCACTTAATGACATTTTTAAGGTTTTATAAAAGAAAAACTACAAACATGTTCAAATAAACAACAACAATTGAAAAACAGTAAGAGTTACAATAAAAAGTCTGAGAGAAAGAAGTTAGAAAATTTAGTAATAAACAAAAAAACACTACATTTTTTCCATACAGTCAATAATTTAGGAGATATAGCTATAAACGCGTTTTCCAATAAAGCGGCCAGTTGTGACCACCCTACATTCCCCGATTTAAACTTAAGCTTCTTACAATCTACCCTTATGTCTGTAAAAAAAAGCTAGAGTAGTACTGACTTAATGGGTATTTCACTACTACACTAGGTACATAGTTTACAATGTTAGCAGTTTGGTTTTTTGTTTTAAACTCAAACTAATGGGATGCATTTCTAGAGCAAAAAAGTTTATTTTTAATATTTTATATTAGACTTCTTTGCAAATCAGCAAGTTACTGTCAATTGAACTTATGGAATATTCAATTGACAGTAACTTGCTGATTTACGTACCATATCTGTGTCTGGATTGGAAATGTATTTCCAGTATTACCTATATCTGTTTATTAAATGAACTATGAAGGCAAAGACAAAACTACACTTAGTACAGTTTTACTGAGATATTTGATTATTACCAAACATCAATCATCATTAAAAAAGTCAATACTAAAAAACACAAGTAAATAAAATATTATTTCTCATTGCCACTCGATAAAGGGATTTCATTCAGCGATAACAGTGAACAAACTTTTCATTTAATTACTGAGTGAATAAAAAAAAATTCGACAAACAGAAGTTATGCAAAGCATACATATAAAGTTAAAATAATTAGTAATAATCATAATTATTTTTTATTGTCATTTCCAAAACACAAGCAATGGGTACTATAAATATATTATTCATTTTCTCACAATAGTAAAAAAACTTAATCCTTGTATCATTTGCTCCACTGAGGATTCCTATCTAGAATCGTTCGTTGCTACAGTAGGGGTCCATCTTAGCACTTCAAATTAACTTTATTTTATATTTGCATTTATTGTATAATCAATAATTGCATATTAAAGTATTAATTTGGTAAAGCGCGCTATACTGAACTTCGCCGCGTCGATGTCTCGCTCGTGCGACTCGGACACGCTCGCGGTAATGTTTACCTAAACTAGAGCGGCGCAATTTTGTAAAAGGGCTCTTAAGACATAGCAGTTAATACTTTGGCAAAATTCTGGCTGATGCACATAGCATATTTTTTGCAATCTCTGTTCACTGTTACAATGTTAAGATTTGCATAGCAGTCTTTGCATTCGAAAATTGTGAAAACAATAAAATGTTGAAATAACACTTTTTGAAGATTTCAGACATAGTAGATATTAGTTTGACAAAACATATATAAGTTCTTTAGTATGTGTTTCACAAGAAGTAAAAAAACTGAGTATCATATTTTCAGCAACAGTCAAATTTTGCTTTTTTTCTATTATTGAAAATAATTAACAGAAGTTTTTAGTAAAATATGATAGGAGTAGTTGAATTTAAGTCTGGAAGATCTACATACAATAAATTTATACTGGATTGGTTCATCAGATATAGCTCACCATAACAACTTTGCCGGGCTTGGCAGCGGGCCCGTTGCCAACCTTCAAATCTTCAATGAAAACTCCCCCACTAAGTGACTTCTTTTCTTTTTTTTCTGTTTGTCCATCCTGAGAATCCTTCTTGGCTTCTGGTTTCTTTTTTTCAGCCTTCTGCTCAGGCTTTTCTTTCTGTATAAAAAGAACTTTGTACATTATTACATTCTGCACAAGCTGTACTATTATTTTTTTTCAAATACATATTAGGTATATTCACAAAACTTTAAAGCATACCAGAGTCATTCATGTAAATATAGTGATGATCTTATCACACTTTTTTATAATGAACATAATCATTTTACCTTATAATTATTTAATTGAAATAAATTGTTGTAAATTATTTAAAGTTAATTTATTTGTTTCAATAATGTGGCAATGAAGTACAAAGTTAGCAAAATTTGGAATTGGTATAATATAATAGTTGTAGTAGTCATGCAAGAAAAAAATATTTTTTAATGTGCTTTCATTGTGAAGATGGAAGAATGCTGAACTTTGTCTGAGAAATTAAGTTCACATGAAAGTAATAATGAAAAAGTTTTGATCAGTACGAAAGTAATTTTTTAGTACTGTAAGGTAACGTACCTTTGCCTTGTCAACTCCATTTACTTGTGGTACTTGTCCTTGTTTCTTCAATTTCTTCATAAGGCGGCGTCGCTGCGTCTTACTGAGTTTGCTGAGATCAGGTTTGGCCTCGTCCTGGCTGGTGTCCAGTGTAGTCTCTGCAGCTTCAGATTCACCTTCATCATCGTCTTCTTCCTCTTCCCCTTCTGCTTCATCAGTATCATCTTCATCACTATAATATTTAAGAAACCCAATAAGAATACAGTCAAATATAAAAAATGTATGTGATTAAAAATCTACGAATATAAAATTCTTGCCTGTCACTTGCTTCTGTAGATGTGTTTACTTTAAATGAATCATCATTCTCATCAGTGTCAATATCTTCTCCATCCAGGAATTTTTGAAGTTGATCTTCGTCTTCATCATCTTCATCAGAATCTGAACTAGCTGCTGCAGCTTTTTTCTTTTCGGCTTTTTCTTTCTGTAATAACATTTATCTGAGTAAATATGCAAATCAATGTTAATTTCTACATTAAGGCAGGTATCATATTATTTTATTTCCTAAAAACTTACTACTTAACACTACCAGCTTGATACCAGCAAACACAATTAACATAAATAGAAAATTTACCTTAGGTTTCTTAGCATCTTTGTTATTGCTGTTCTCAAGTTTTCTCTTTGTGGCAGCTACCAGGGTGGGGGCCTGTTCCTCTTCTTCCTCTTCCTCAGCATCCTCCTCCTCAGAGACATCTTCCTCAAATTCAGGATCCAAGTAGCCAGTCAAATGGACATTGCATTTCCCTATTTATTAAAAAATATTAATGAAATTATTCACATATTTTATTTTATGGAAAAAATAAAAACAAAACTGTGTTTTTATTAAAAAACTCACCATTAGTTAAGAAAGCAACTGCATCTCCTGCTTTGAAATATAAATCTAATGGAACTTGTATAGTTTTATTCTTCTGAAGAGTACAGACTAGGAAGTTTTTGCCATCAACCACAACCATGACCTGGCAGGGGTCGTTGTCTCCAGTTGATATATCCATAGCAGCCTGTGATATGTGAAACGGCTTTTCCACCACTTGGGTGTACCGTTTGTTCGGCTCCATAATAAGTCCTGAAATTTTATTTTGATCAATCTAAGTATACCTATTAAAAAATGATAGGAAAGTCAAAACTGTACATTGATTATTTTTTTAAAAGAATACTTGGGGTGTGATCTACCATCGATACCAAAGCCAAAAATAGTTTTTATAATTTTTGTCCATTTGTCTGTATGTATGTCCAGGATAAACTCAAAAAGTACTGCATGGATTTACTTCAAATTTGGCACAAATATTATTAAGAAATCGGGTCAACATATAGGATACATATTATCATGAAACTCCACCCCTAAGGGGGTAATATGGGGGTTGGAAGTTTGTATGAAAGTCCTATGTTTTTGGAGTAAGGGACTTGAAATTTAACATATATGCTCTATAGATGGTGTAGAGGTGTACTAATAATGTATCTTTAGAAATAAACCCCCTTTAGGGGCCAAAAAGTATGTGCAAATAACTAACTCAACGGGTACTAAGTTGTGGGCGGCTGCTAGTAACAAATAAGAGAAAATATTGGGACTAGCAAATTTTCAACAGTTCCAACTCATTTACAGAAATGACTTTATTTGATAGAATTGAGTGCAATACTCATACCTGAATCTACTAAATAGTTATCTGCCTGCCTACATTTTGTTAATCTCAATTACACATATTATGAAAGTAAAGATTGCAATAATTACATAAAACTTTTAAATTTTGCTAGCATCTTGTTAGTTAAGATTATCAGTTCCCCATATCCTGCCTATTCCCCATAAGTGGACACATAAGAGATGTAGATCATAGTAGAATTTTTGCTCAAGTTAGTGTAGGGAACTTGACCCCACCTTTTGGATACTGTTGTGTTCCTGTTGGCAGTAAGGTTCCAGGCCATATGCTAAGGGATTAGTTCTAGATCAGCAAGGTGAAGAATGCTGATGCAGTATACTTTTTACTGCTTCAGCTACATTGGTGACAGACTCCACTTACACTAAATTTAGTTAGGCAATATTACTCAGCCTTGTCAAAAAAAAAAATACCAGCGCCATAATAAAGAACTGGAGCTTCTATTATACCTACATTTCATTGAAAAATGTATATCAGCAAAAATAAAGTTATTATTTTAACCACATACTATATTTTTTCCCATTTTTGTCATCTACTATATTTTACCATTTTTGTAACAGCTTCGAAAATATTATATTTTATTTGATAGACAAAAGTTGCTAACCCTAGTTGGAGCTGGTAAATGGACGTACACGATTTCTAACGTTAAATTGTAAATAATCTATATTTTCGACCATCATAGAACATTCAGTACGTTATTATTTATCTTTCGTTTTATTTGAAGAAAGTTAAAATTACGTGCATTTCGTACAATTACAAATTGTTGTAGCACGCTGTCAATTGGTACAATTTGTGACTGTGGGCTAAGGCATAGCTATTGATGAAATAGCAACTATTCAGACAAAGCAACAAACGGACATCATTAAATCACATCTATAGAAACAAGAACTTTATAATTAAAGTCCTTTTAGTGATAATCAAACGGACATAAGGCGCAGTACCGGTATCAACACGTGGTGTTAATTTTCCGGTCAGAATTTACTTACCCCAAAACATTTTGGTGACTGATGTTACTTAAATGTTAATGCAAGCTTATTTTCACAAATTTTCAAGACTTGTACTTCCTGTGGTAAATTCAATTTTTGAACGCGGTAAAAATCCAACCAAGTACGTACAGCAGAAGACCAAGACAGAAGACACGCGAGTAGGGACACGAAAAAAGTATCGATACTTTGTGGTATCGAGTACTTTTCCTTTCGATACCGATACTTTTGTACTCGATACTTTGTATTCGATACTTTTACTAAATGAGTACTTTTTGGCAAGAATCGATACCTTTAAAAATTTGGAAAAACGCCTCATATTGATGGCAACGCCATCTTGTTAAATCATAGCAAACCTTCTAAAACGTCCCATAAGGGTATTCGACAAGTTTTAGGGTGCGGCCAGAGTGCACTCAGATTCAGATTCAGATTCAGATTCCGAAAACAAGTGCGAGAAATAAACAGTGTCTGAATCTGAGTGCACTCTGGCTGCACCCATAGGGTGCGGCCAGAGTGCACTCAGATTCAGAGTCAGATTCAGATTCTGAAAACAAGCGCGAGAAATAAACAGTGTAGTCGAAGGGTACGGCCAGATTGCACTCCTGATTCAGATTCAGATTCAGACTCAGAAAACAAAGCGCGAGAAAAAGCAAGCAACCTGCTTAGACTACACTGTTTATTTCTCGCGCTTGTTTTCGAAATCTGAATCTGAGTCTGAATCTGAGTGCACTCTGGCCGCACCCTTAGGCAACACGTTATTAACTAATGTTTATGGAGTCCGTAAAAAGTGGATATTCATCATTCTGTCGTGTATTTCAGTAAAAATAACCAAATCAAAAACTCCATTTTCAAGTTGCCGCGAAAACGTTTCTCTGGACAATATGGCGTCTTACTAGTGAGTGACGTCACACGACTGTTATTAAAACGTCAAACGATATAATGTAATGTCACTTTGACCGGAAGTTTACTTGCGTGTGACGTCATATTAGGCTCTGCCAATCCCAAGCGTTTTGGGTTACGTGACAATAGTAAGAAAACTAATATGTTTTTCGTTATTTTGGCACTTTAATTTTAATACTGTCAAATGCCCTATTGCGTTGTTATAAAGTCAGTAACTGACATATTCAAATTCTTTCCAATCTATGACTGTGTTTATTTTGCGCTTTGATTTGTTTCATAGTTATTTATTTAGCGACCATATTGTTAGGAACTGTGATTGATTCACCGTTTATTGTTCTTTTCGCTTGACTGTATTTGATTTATTCAAGTGTAACACAATTATTCTGTCTGTGCTCTGTATACCTATTTGAAACCACCTGAAAAAAAGACGGACGTAACCTCTTCTATAATCATAATTTTGAGTGAAGCATGCCAATGGCAGCCGTTAACTGCGTGTCAGATTCAAGTTAACATAAGTGGGTATAATGTTTTTTAATGACTAAAATTCAAGAAAAGTAAGTTTAATTTGAAACAAATCTGAAAGATTCATACTTTTAAATTGTCTAAGATTTCGATCTTTTTAATTAACATTTTAATTATGAATGTAATATTAATGAACACTTTTTTAGTAATATAATGATGTCGATTCTGGCATGATTCTCTAAAGATAAACATAAATTTGACAACAGTGCATCCCTGTCATTCTCTATACAGAATGAAAAGGAGAGACTGATGTTAAATTTAGTTTTAAGTTTAGAGAATCACGCCAGAATCGACACCATTATATTGCTATTAATATAGCAATTTGTGAATTTACATGTCCTTTTTTTGTTTTTGATTATACGTACTATAATAAAATTCGATTGTTTCTCTTTCAATTTTAACACCAGGGGGGGGGGGTTCTCATCAGGCCACAGAGGCTCCGATAAGGCCCTATGAAATGTACTCAATACTTTGAAGTATCGATACTTTTGTTTCGATACTTTTACGAGTACGATACTTTTTTACCGATACTACTCATGAGTACAGTATCGATACTTTCTATTCGATATCGTGTCCCTACACGTGAGCCCATAAGGGTTGCCAGATGCAATTTTATGATTCCTCTATACTGATTTTAAAATTTCCCAAATATACGATTTCTAAAAAAACCCCAATCGCTTTGTTACAAATAACATATAAATAAAATGGTTTATATTTGTTTATTTAAGCTTCATTCAATATATCAAGTAGGTACTTCTTCAGTCCCATTTTTTTCCTATTTGAGAATTGGTACACACTTTCAAAATATAATAATTCTAACATTTTTCCAGTTGTTTCAAACTTTGTGCCGTGCCTCCGTGATTTTCTAAGACACTTCGACGATTAAAGGTACAAGTCCGAACTGAACCGCAGACCGTAGGCCGCAGCTGCCGACTGCAGGCGACACTACTAGTTTCTATGGTAGCTTTCCAATTACAGCATTATAGAGCAGCATAATGCTTAACGTTGAGTGTTCCAACTACAGCATCGCTAGTAATGCTTTCGTGTGATGCGTGCAATCGTACTAACCCAGTGACAGAAAATTAACAAGTGTTTTTTCTTTAAGTTGGCATTGATCGAAATGTTTTATTTATATGTTATCGTAAGTAATATTATTTATTGTTGAAAAATTATTAAAGCTTTCATTTCATTAAATAGTTTTTTTTAAACAATCAAAGTTAATTCAAACTGTTAAAAAAAAATATATAAGTATGGATGAAGGTACAAACATTGACTTTTTTTTGCAACACTGAACTTAGCGCACCCTGCTAGTGCATCTGAAAACTAATTCACGTTCCAATTAAGCATCAGCATAATTCGGCATTGTGCGGCACTGAGTCGCATTATGCTCTGTAATTGGAAAGCAATCAATAAATCTCTATGAAACTGATTCCAAGCGCGGTAACATTGCGGCCTGCGGCCGCGGCGTGCAGCGACCGCAGAATGCAGTTCCAGTGGCGTCGCCCGCCGCAGAGAGTCACACCAAAGATTTGAATCGCTAGATAAGCCCTTACCATAGTTTGACCGCACAGAAATCTGTCAATACTCGAATGAGCTACTCCCATATTTTTCCAATTCTTATTTTCTGCAAGAAAAGTGTATTATAATACCGTTATGTGCCTTCCGAAAGTTCTATAACAATTCCAGAAATACATATAGATAATGGTGTAATATTACACTCGTAAGTTTTTCGATTTAATTTTTATTAAATTTATTTTCTATCGTTGTCATGAATATTGAAATCTGTTAAAAAAATGTTTTGGAAAATATTGCTAGATAAAAAGAGACAGCACTATACTCTCGGTAGTCGAAGCTATTGGAGTGACTGAGGCATGGTTATATGCATTGTGCACCCGCGGCATGTCGCCGCGCTCGGAATAGAAGCTGCCGCGACCGCAGGCAGCACTCTGCGGTCAGCCGCAGGCGCTAGCCGCAGTGACGCCTGCGGTTACAGTGTGCAGCCCATTGCGGAATTGTACCTGGTGTGCTGTTTTCGTGAGCCTTCTGTTTCGGAGTTTATTTTTTACGATATTCATAAACAAAAACGCCCGTTCTACAGCAGCATTAGTAACTCAAACAGGCCGTGGCCAGTATGGTTAAATTTAAAAACCTTCACATGTTTTTTTATGAATTCCTCTACAAGAATTTATTTTATAATTTAATACTATAGTTAGACCATATTCAAATGGCTCTAGTTTCTTGCAAACTAGCCAGGATGTCAGTTGAATAAAAAGAACGTTCAACGTTCATTGCCATAAATAAACTTTAACTTTTTAAGTGCTAGCCCCAAACATTCCCCTTAATATGATAATTTTATTGTAGTTTCCCAAAAGATACTGTTCCCAAATTTTCTCCGAGAGCCAATCTTTTTCCCGGAATTGTGAGTAATCCTCAATCTGGTAAAGCTTCAGTCACGCAAAGTGAATACTCGCTGCGAATGCCTACTCGACTATTCGCTGTAGGTAGCAGGGGTACAGTTTGTCTATAAAGTCGTGACATGAATGTTTGAGGAACTAACACTGAACTAACAAGGAACTAACATTATTCATGTTTCTGACAACACCAAACTTATGTACATCAGCTGTCATCGAGTTTCAGTTGTGGAACAGTTTTCCTTTTGTATTTTTTATTGTTTGGATTAAACTGTAATAAATTAAGACGAAACTACGCAGAAATGTATAAAAATGAGTAAAGTAAATCGGAGTGGCACGCGGGAAGTGATTTTTAAAGTTTTCCAGCGATGTTTCGAAGACTACCAAACTGGACGAATTTTGTGGGATTTGGATGATGTTTATGTGCGAACAATCGTGTAATTATTTGTTTGTAATCTGCCTGAAGTTACAAATTTACTCAATTTACGATTTTGAGACCAAAAAAGGCATTGTTTACATTGCACATTTTTAGGTTAGATTGACAATGGTGTCGATTCTGGCACGATTCTCTAAATCTAAACTTAAATTTGACAACAGTGTATCCTTGTCATTCTCTATACAGAATGAAAAGGACAGACTGATGTTAAATTTAGTTTTAAGTTTAGAGAATCACGCTGGAATCGACACCATTGTAAATAGGTAATATTGTAGTACGACCATTTCTTTTGATACGTTATTATGGTTCAACTCGGTCAGGTTTTCTACCAATTTTGAATTGATTGCTTCATGTCAATAAATTATTGTTTCTATTCCGTTACATATTTTTTTACTTTTTTTTTCAGGAAAATCAGTCAGATAGTCAACGAAGGTTTTAAGAATGATGGAAAGTTTGAAACTCCTGGGAAAACAGGCAAGGCCGACCAAAGAAAGAAATGGTCACACAAAGAACCATGGCCAGATGCTTTTAGTGAAGATACCTATCACTAATTTTACTAACTGTACATTTACAAATTGTTTCTCTAAATAAACTTTTTGTATACTATAAAATGATTTTTAGTATTATTTTCTTAACAAGTGTGTTAAAAAACGTCGTTTGATGATACTTGTGTGTATTGATGATTACCTAACGGCTCTGGTCTCAATGGCACCTCAGCGGTAATCACCATCATTACACACTTTTACACTATAAAGTACTATTTTATCTATAATAATTTTATTCTGATTCAATTAAATATGCTTGGCTAAACTTTTTATAAGCATAGGTACCTACTATATATAAAACAGAAACAAAATACGACTGTATAGTGTGTCTTATTAATTACCTATTTTACTTGAATGAACTGCTAGTATCAAAATCATTTTGGTCCGTCTGTATAGGGTTGCTACATGCATACTAGTGGCGCCATCATTTAATGTCACGACTTTATAGACAAACTGTACTCGCAGCGAGTAAGGGTACGGCCAGAGTGCACTCAGATTCAGACTCAGAAAACAAGCGCGAGAAATATACAGTGTAGTTTAATCAGGTTGCCTGCTGCCACTATGGCAACCCTGCTTAAACTACACTGGTCCCGATTCTGGCGTGATTCTCTAAACTTAAAACTAAATTTAACATCAGTTTCTCCTTTTCGTTCTGTATAGAGAATGACAAGGATATACTGCTGTCTAAGTTTAGGTTTAGAGAATCATGCTAGAATCGACACCACTGTTTATTTCTCGCGCTTGTTTTCTGAGTCTGAATCTGAGTGCACTCTGGCCGTACCCTAATACAATAAATGTATGAAACCGATGCGTCACGACACGCCACGACACGTTGTTTCTGGCTTAATTTATCCAGTTTTAATAAACTGGAGAGACAATTTGAACAGAACCCATACAGCCATCGCAAGACCACAGACAACAAGAAAGAGAACGAACAGGGTTTATTCCGAAATAAAGTTTTGTTGCCACATAAGGTATGCTAATGCACCAACGGCTTCGCGATAGGGAAAGTTAATCTCCTCTTTATCTCCTTTCTCTCCATCTAATTGTGTTGCAGGCGACTTTTCTGCAGTGTCAATAGGTATTGAGACAGGATTACTTTTCGCCATATTAAAGCGTTCGAGTACCTTCTTGGTTGATTTCAATCGTGCCGTCCTTGCGTTGATAGATTTCTATTCCCAAGTATTACGAGGTGGGCTTCGTAGTAATTTTCAATTTACATTTCAGTCTCTTGATAAATTCTTCACAAAGCTTCTTGTCTGAAACGGTCCACCATCGACATATAGTGCTAGGCCGCACTACGACGAAACCGCCGTGGTTTTATACCGCGTAGTTTTGTGAATCATGGAAACTAATACAAGCGGCCGTACCAGCTGTTTTTTCCCGCGACTGATTTTAAAACAGTGATTTGTTACAGAATGGCTCGCAGGTAAAATCCGCGCCAAAATTTGTAGTCCATACAATATATATTGACACGCACACATTGATGGGGTAACCGGGGGCGGTTTCTATCATTATTCGTCAGACCGCCGCCGTGAAGAGCCGTTGTGTTGTATGTAGGTATCGCGTCGTAACCGCTCCTCTGGTGAAATACATTTGCGAAATTTTGTATCCATGTAGGTAATGTATGGACGTACAAATTGTAAAATTTTATCGAAGCTGGCTACTGACATCCGATAGTAGTTGAAATTTTTCTCATTATATTTTCTTAAATCTTGATACTTCTTATGAAAGAAACCTTTCTTAAATCTTCTGCTAGTTAGTGGCTGGACCCAATATTTACGAAATTTGTGACGACGTTTTCTTTTTCTATTTCTTAGTATTAAAGCAACAATACATACAGCTCTCTTGAAATCCATCCTCAAACTGTGATAAATCGTGTCTAGTTTCGCGGTTTTTAATCGTAGTGTGTGTGCTTCGGGCGGTTTCGCGATTTTGCGGTTTACCGCTTGCGGGAAAAAACCTTAGTGCGGACACAACACGACATGTTAATATGTTTCTGGCTTAAGTCAGCAGTTCTTTTCTTAAGTAAGAATGCAATTAACCATGCTCATTGTATTTCATTTTAATGAGATGCATCTTGTTGCAATATTCATTAGACTTGATGAACAAACATATATTATTTTAAAAAATACAACCAAACTTCTATTATTTTGCTGGATCCAGTTTTGGTGATTTTTTACCAACAAGGTATTTTTTGGTGTTAAATCTTGGCGGAAATTAGAAAATCACGTCTGGCAACCCTGCCTCAAAAAAAAACAATCTCTCTCTTTTTATCAGCTGTCAAAGTAGAAGACATTGTTTCAGCCATGGTAAATTTTGATTTATCATAAAATATCACAATAATCTTGTACAATTATCGTATTAAATTTGATTAAGAATTATGTATAATGTAATGTTGAATTACCATAGTTTGTATTTCATATTTTGTGACATATCTTTGTGCAGGGTCGTGTCAGGACTAAGACCGTCAAGAAAGCGGCTAAAATTATTATCGAGAAATACTACACCAGACTAACTCTTGATTTTGATACCAACAAGAGGATATGTGAGGAAATTGCTATCATTCCAACTAAACCACTTCGCAACAAAATTGCTGGGTGAGTAATTGATAACCAAATTAACCTCCATTCAAGTACCTGCTAAGTAAGTAGGTAGATACAGAGGCAGACAGCCTCACCAAGTATTGTAAAGCTCAAAATTAGTCTGTTTTGGCTTACTTGGACCGATGACAGTCTTGCACATTTTTTTTAATTGGAAATTATTAGTCCCTTGAAAACTTCATGACGTTATTGCCTATGTTAAATTCATATCTAAATAAGCACAACAAACCAATGTATAACAAGTACAAAGAAACTTTCTCTGGCCATGTTGCCCCTTTATAGATTGGACTACTTTGGAGAGATACATGAAACAAGAGGTGGTCTTGTTTAGCAAGTATCCTTTATGTTTTAGGATAACATACTAATATTTGATGTAACAATCAGAATGGAGTAAATTTCCCAGTGCAGACTTTGAATAAATTTATACATTTTATGGTAGATATACCTGGTCATAAGTAGTGCAAACATATTTTCAAAAACTTGTGACTTGTCTTTATCTTTAGTAATGCTTTTATTACTTCCTCTTTTAAGCCTTGGATAATGTTATAATTTTGTAGTCAAAACATGTTAACTTTCATGAATTCATTGCATTTGTTATTGTTTACAAAATAAGAGAATACAACATAAAATTTAAGTCAACAACTGTCATGTACATGGCAGTGTGTTCTAAATAACTATGTATTTAGCCCTTTTCTTAATTTTATATGCCTAGATAGCTAATAGTTGTTTCAGTTCTGTAGTCACCAAATGAAGAGCCTGGACTAAAGAGACTTCAAACCTCTTGTTTGAAAATAAATTGCACTTTTAGTCTTATTATTGCCAAAATAAGTTCTTTGTAATTATTATTAATTCATAATTTAGCCATTATATTTCATGCCTTTTGGGCTCAAATCTGTGTGCAATATCTTGATACTCTGTTTACATTTTTAGCTGCCTTAATGTTATATGGCACATAAATAAAATATCTCACAATTTAACTTAATGTTTTTAAATGTTGCTTCAGATTTGCCACGCATTTGATGAGACGTCTAAGGCATTCCCAGGTTCGTGGAATTTCTATCAAGCTGCAGGAAGAAGAACGTGAGCGTCGTGATAACTATGTTCCTGAAGTATCTGCGCTTGAACATGATATCATTGAAGTGGATCCCGACACCAAGGACATGTTGAAGATGCTAGATTTCAATAATATCAATGGATTGCAGTTGACGCAGCCTGCCACCCAGGGTGGATATGGTGGCAGACGTAATTAATAAATATTATGAAATAAGTAAAGTTTTTTTTATATTATCTATCTGTAAAGCACTTTGTAAATTATTGGTGTAGCTAGGGATTTGCTCTAGGGAGGGCAGCAAGTTAACCAAGTTTATTAGTGCCGGATAGCACAACAGGTGTCTTATCAATTTTTTTAACATATGGTGAATGGCACAAGAGGTGTGTCATTTTTAAATTCATTGTAACTCTCCCAAATTGTTTTGCAAGGTTCTGCCGAAAACAAATTTATCATGATTTTAAACATAGATCAAGCCTGTTGTATTCATTTCTGGATATTTGGTGAATTAAAAAATCTCAGGGGTTGACAACCTTTATATGTTGCATTTTAACATTTTTGTTTTAACGTGAGGCATATGACACAATAACTTTTTTTTAACCCTAGATAACGAACCAAAGAATAGATAAGCTCAGGTCATTAACGCAGTGTTTTGTGACAAAATACTGCATTTGCTATTATTAGTCTGGATATCCGAACAAAGAAGTAAGCTTAGATAGAAATATTTTTTCACAGTCGTAAATTTTTCCTACTTATAGTATATGCGGAAAAATATAATACTATTTCTTTGTAGCCGGTATGGACCCCGAGGAAAAGCGGCGGCATGCATTTGAATATCACAAATATTTTATAGCAAGTATTAAAACAAAATTTGCTTCAAATGCGTTAAATTAACAAACATTGATTAGATACCGGTCGAAAAAATGACACTTTACGTAGGTACTAAAGGTATTTTTTCACGGAGCTCTGCGGCATCTTCACTCAACGGTCCGCGCGTGACTGACCCAAGAAGTGCTCGAGTGGTTCAAGCATTTCTTGATTGAGACGTGCTTATTTATTCGTTGTTTTTCACTGAATAGGTAAATATGCGTGTTTAAAATAAATAACTACTCAAAAGGACATAAAAATACACAAATTATAAATAAAAACAAAAAAAAATACTTCCAAAAAATCAGGCATACTATAAACACGTAACCAAATAATCCCACAAGTTTCATTAGAACGTTATACCCGCCATACACACTACGATAACGTTCGTTACGATTAGATTGTACAGTCCGAACGGTACCGATAAATCGTAGCGTGTATGTTATAAAACTGCACAGTTTCCTATACTAAACGATTTCTCGTAGTGTGTATGGCTACCTTAATACCCGCCATACACACTACGAGAAATCGTTACGATCAGACTGTACAGTTCGAACGGAACAGTTTATCGTACGTGGCGTACGTATAGAAAACTGCAGTTTTATAACATACACGCTACGATTTATCGGTACCGTTCGGACGGTACAGTCTAATCGTAACGATTTCTCGTAGTGTGTATGGCTACCATTAAATTTCACCGTATAATACAGGTGCATAGAGAAAAGTAAATCGCGCTACTCACGCGGCAACGTGCAGGGCGGTTGGGACAATCTGGGAAGCAAGGGTAGGCGCGCGCTCCTGCCGCCCTGCCTCAGGCCCGAGTTAGAAAATTGCCCCAATTTGCCTACACACATCACAATTTAGGGTCATCCCCACTTACACCCTAGATTGTCCCTGTGGCAGACATGTGACTGCCGGTCACTGCGTGAGGACGTGTTGTATCTACGATTACGAATTACGCGAGTGTGCGATGTCGGCGGTAAAAGAAAAAGAAGTTATGAGTAACATGGTATAAACATTTGCCGTATCTTTGGAACAAAAATAACATTAATAATACCTTCTTATATTCTTTCACCCACGTTTTTCGTTTTTTACTTTTTTTTATTTTTATTCAGCCAACGGTTAGGTCTACGAGAAGACAGATTTTTTGTTGCTTTGACAGGACGAGCCAGTACGATAAAGAAGGTAACTATGAACTACATTATTTCCTACATTATTATCCAACATTAATAAGTTTTGTATTGTGGCTGAGCTGCACTGATCAGTGAGCGCCCTCTCACTGAATAAAAACAAATTTGTGTGAGCGTTTAAGTATAACACAATAATGTGTTTGCATGTTGAAAACAGTATTTTGTATACTTTATTTTTGTTCAACAGTAAAAAGTATAATTTAGTGAAAAACAGTATAGTTGGCAACCCTGAATCAGAAGCATCTAATTAACTTTCTTTTTAGGATCCTAATTAGGACGTCTGTATTTAGTCAGGTGGACTAAGCGCTTTAGTTCTTTCAAATTTAGAACAATTTTTTATGAAACTTCATGGGCGGACAAACGTCAAAACGCACAGCGCGGTACCGAAAGAACAGTGGTTTTTCTAGCTGCCCTCGCTAGTGTTGGTTATTACACGTGTTAAAGGGATATCTATTCTTATTAGTGAATTTAGTTTCCTTTCTACGTGGAATTACGAAACTAACAAGTGTTTACTATATATACTAACAACAGGTGTTTGGTAAGTCCCGTTAAACTTATGTTTTCCTGTCCTATCCATTGATTACATAGCAATCAATGGATAGGACCCCTCCTGAACCCCCGGACCCTCCGGACCGGCCTCCCACACCGCTTCCATCAATGGAACTTTCCCCGCCGGTATTCACTCAGTCTAGTCTTAAACGACGTAACGATACGGAACCTGAAGAAGTGATGAATGCACCTTGTAAAAGAGCTATTACTGATGTGAGTCAGTCGGACACGCCGCCGCCCTCTCCCGGATTATATATCCATCCATCTTTAAATCACACAAATAAGCAGTATCTAGATAGTGATAAAGGACCTTTTCTTGTACATGTTTCGAAAATTGAGACGGATTCTACAACTGGTATATCAATTCATCCTCTAAAATTTGGCCAACTTCTAGTAAAAAACAAAGTTAAAAATATAATAAATGATGGCATTAAAAAAGTAGGCCGTAACAGAATCTCAGTGGAGTTTAAAACTAACATAGATGCAAACCATTTCTTAAAAAACCCTTTTCTACACATTCACAAATATACAGCAGTTATCCCCAATTACAATATTACACGCATGGGAATTGTTAAAGGGGTTCCATCTGACTTATCAATGAATGAGTTAGTGGAATCTTTAGTTGCACCTATAAGCTGTGGCATAGTGCTAAAGGCAAGACGCTTAAATAGAAAGACAATCTCAGAAGGTCAAGTAACCTGGGTTCCAACCCAAACAGCGGTTATCACTTTCCAAGGCCAGGTCCTTCCTAATAGAGTGTTTGTATATCATACATCACTGCCTGTAGAGACTTACCAACTTCCAACTATACAATGTCTAAATTGTTGTAGGTTTGGACATATTAAAACTCAATGCCGTTCTAAGCCACGCTGCTTCCGCTGTGCTCAATCTCACTCTGGAGCATCCTGCAATGTAGAGGAGGCTAAAGCTACCTGCCTGTTTTGCTCAGGCTATCACTTTGCATGTAACAAAAATTGCCCTGAGCAGTCCCGCCAAAGATCAATTAAAATATTAATGTCACAGGATAATATATCATACCAGGAAGCATCAGGAAGATTCCCCTCTGTCAGAAGATCCTATGCGGATGTTTCTCAATCTCCGAGCCTTCCCCAGTCCATGTATGCCTCTCATTCTCTAACACCCTCGGGCAAGTCCATGACAACCACAACCTCCCATAAAAAAACTTTAATTCAGTCCCCTAAACCTAGGGCTCCATTAAATCCAGGATATGATAGAAGGGCTCACCAGGCCATCACCCAAAATTGCCCATCTTCACTTCCAAACGGCTGTGCACTCAGCAGTGACAATTCACCAATCCCCATGGAGACCACCCCTAATGACAACTTGTTAGAAGTCCTCTTATCCTTCGTGTTTAGCCTGTTAAATAGATTTGATGATATTCCTGTACCGTCCAACGTCGCACAAAGAATCAACCAACTCAACAATCTTATTTCCAATAATAAAAATGGCGAAGATAATTCAATGGAACTGTAGTAGTATCTCTAATAAAACGTCTGAACTATATTACCTCATTAATAAATTCTCTCCATCCATTCTTGCTTTGTCGGAGACATGGCTGGTGCCCGGAGCTGCTTATGGCTTATCTGGGTACTCATGTCTCCGGGAAGACAGGAGTGACGGCTATGGTGGGAGTGCACTGCTAGTCAGTTACTCCCTCCCCTTTAGTAAAATTGATCTTCCAACTCACAGCGATTGTATAAATGCAGTGGCTGTAAATATTTTAAACACATCTTATCTTTCAATATATATAAGACCTCAATCTTCACACAATATTGTCATTCAAGAATTAAATTCCATTATCCTTTCACTCCCGCCTCCTGTAGTTCTTATGGGAGACTTTAATGCACACCATGTCTCATGGGGTGCTCATGCAAATGATTCACTTGGTTCCCAACTTCTGAGCCTACTAGATGAAAGAGACCTTTGTATAATTAACGATGGGAGTCCCACCAGAAGGACTCGCCCAGACCAGCATCCATCTGCTGTAGACATTACAGTTTGCACCCCTTCTTTGGCATCCAACCTTTCCTGGAATGTATTAAAAAGCACACATGGCAGCGATCACTTTCCGATTTTCATCTCCATCTTGGACAATTTCCCCCCTGCCAGTCGCCCTACCCCCTTGCTTCAATTCAGACTACATAAAGCAGATTGGAATGCCTATTCTAGGTCACTTGATAACAAAGCGGACACACTACCCGCAATTTCGACAGAAAACTGCCTCAAGGCATATGAAGTGCTGGTCGATTCGTTGATGGATGCGGCTCATAGTAATATCCCCAAAAAACAAAACAAAAGAAAAAGAGTCGTACCTCCATGGTGGGACTTTGAATGCTCAGAAGCGGTTAGAAGACGAAAAGAAGCGGAAAAAACATATAATGGTTCCATGACAATGGACAACTTTGTGGCATACCAGCGAGTTGCGGCTCAAACCAAAAAGGTTCTTAAACAAAAGAAAAAATCCGGTTGGACCAAATTTTGTGAAACTTTAACTCCTTGTACCTCTTCAACAATAGTTTGGAATCAATTAAAAAGGTTCCGCAAAGCCGGCAATCGCGCCAATTTGACCGCTAACGACCCTTCCAACTGGATTGATCTGTTTGCCGACAGATTGGCTCCTCCCACTGTTCCAAATTGGGATTACCTTCCAGTTAGGACCAGCATTATTCTATCTCCTACAGACTCACTTGGTGGATCCTTCTCTTTTGATGAACTCGAAAAAGCCCTTTCTGGTTTGAAGGATACATCCCCAGGCCTTGATGGGATTCCATACTCGTTTTTGATAAGAGCCACAGACAAAATAAAATATTACTATCTCAAACTAATAAACACTTTCTATGACAATGGTATAATCCCTGAACAATGGTCCAAACAGATTATTATACCACTATTAAAGCCAGGCAAAAGCCCTTCCGATCACTCCTCTTACCGCCCCATTGCACTCTCGTCTGTTCTACTAAAAGTTGTAGAACATATGATAAAAAATCGCCTTGAGTGGATTGTAGAAAACCGTAATATACTAGCTAAATCTCAATTCGGGTTTAGGAAAGGATATAGTACACTAGACAGTCTTGCCGTACTTACATCAGACATCCGATTAGCATATGAAAATAAAGAATACCTTGTAGGAGTGTTCTTAGACGTAGCGTCCGCATATGATAATGTCCTAATTCCAGTGCTCAGGCAGAAAATGCAACAGCTGAGCATTCCCGAGAAATTGGTTCTTTTCATATGTAATTCAATCTCGTCTAGATCCATCCTGATAAAGTCACAAAACCTTTCATTAGTTAGGACAGTATGGAAAGGGCTACCACAAGGTTCGCCCCTTAGTCCGATCCTGTATAGCATATACACATATGACATGGAACTTTCCACAAACTCTTTTTGCCAAACCCTACAGTACGCAGACGATTTAGCTCTTTACGTTCGAGTAAAATCTATTTCGGAAGCTACATCACGACTGAATTCTGCATTATTTTATCTCGGCGAATGGCTGGAGCATCACGGGCTATCCATCTCCACCCCAAAATGTAGCGCGGTTGTCTTCACCAGGAAGCGAAATGTATCAGTTCCGATCATTGAATTCCAAGACTCTCATATTGAGGTTAAAGACTCGGTTAAGTTCTTAGGAATGATATTGGACTCCAGATTAACAGGTGTCCCTCATTTCAATAATGTCGCTAATAAAGCAGAAAAGAGTGTCAATGTCCTGCGAGCGCTTTCTGGCGTTTGGTGGGGTGCACACCCAGAAACTCAAAAGCTGATTTATAACGCCATTATCCGCAGTCATTTCGATTACGGTTCCTTCCTTCTTGATCCCTGCAATAAAGCGGCACTGGATAAAATGGACAAAATCCAGTCGAAATGTTTACGCATTATTGTAGGCGCAATGAAGTCTTCCCCTATTAATGCCCTCCAAATAGAAGGTGCGGACCCTCCACTTTTTCTCCGTAGACAGTATCTCAGTGATAGATTTTTCCTCAAAATTTTACAAAATAATTCGCACCCACTTCTAGGCATACTACATAAGTTGTCTCAAGCATTAAATACTAACCCAAATTCTAGACACAAATTACCGTGTATAATATCCAGTTATTCGAAATTCTGCCGTCCTTCCATAGATATCGAAAAATACCCAGGTAATCCCTTGTTTTTAAACAGTTTCGAATCTTTAGTATTCAACCCACCAGTCGTTCTCAATGTAGGTATAGAAAAACACTCTCTTAGTGCAAACCAAGTCTTTAACGAGACTATTGCCAAAAACTGGCCCTATTGGCTTCAGGTATATACAGACGCGTCAAAAACCACAGACACTGGTAGTGTAGGGGCTGCCGTATGGATACCTAGGTTTAGAGTCATTTTAGGATTCAAAATTCCTCCACCCTCATCTGTTTTTACAGGTGAAGCCATCGCAATTTTAGAGGCGATTCTATATTGTGAATCACACAATCTCAATAAAACCATTATTCTGTCCGACGCACTAAGCTGCCTCCAGGCAATATCCGCCAACCCGTTCCGGACCAAATCTCGCTATCCAATAATTCTTAAGATTAGAGAAGCCCTATTTAGATGCAAGTTAAAAGGTATAGAACTGATAGTGGGTTGGATCCCAGGTCATAGTGGAATACAGGGTAATGAGTCAGCAGATTCATGTGCCCGAAATGCAATATCCACAGGTTCTCCTGAATATTCACAACTCGCATATCACGATCTTCTTCCTGTTACTCGATCCCATCTGCTACAGTCATGGGAAAGAAATTGGGAAAATACTAGAAACAGTACTGGTAGACACTATTTCGACATCCAACCAACTATCCCAGCTAAGCCATGGTATTTCAAACAAAAAAATGTTCCCAAGCAGATTGTGTCAGTCCTATGTCGTCTTCGCCTAGGCCACTCATGTACTCCGGTACATCTGAAGAAAATTAAGGTTAGAGATAACTCTCTCTGTGAATGTGGTATAGACGAAGGAACAGCGGAACACTTGTTATTCGACTGTCCCAAACTTCGATATTCCTTATATGATGCCCTTCCACATGATGTACCTCGACCTTTAAATGTTAAAAACGTCCTAAAATTGGTTAACTCACCCTTACTAAAAATAATTATTAAATTTATACAATGTAACAAATTAAAACTATAATTAGACACGCTTTCAACCTCCACTAAAATGTTAATTCTGTGTATTGTGATGTTTTGTGTTTTGTCGTGCATGCCATAAAATGTGTTGTGTTTTGTTACAGGGTCGTTAAATCAACATAGGAAGTGACAGAATTTTTAAAATAGTATTTTCAACTTCTCTAATTTAAAATTAATTTTATTAAGAATCCCTTGTCGTGTAGTGGCTATCTACGTGAAATTGGCAGAATTGTGGGTATATCCCCGTTGAGCCATTAAAAAAAGAAAGAAGAAGAAGAAAGAACAGTGTTGTCTCTTTTTGTCTTGCAATATTTTCCAACACTACTTTCTCTGTCATGCGCTATCCGATCAGATTTCAATATCTATGACAACGAAAGAAAATAAATTTGACAATAATTAAATCTAAAAACTTACGAGTAAAATGTTACATTATTAGCTTTATTTGTATTTCTCGAATTATTAGTGCACTTGAGGGAGGCACATGACGGTATTATAATAAACTTTTCTTGCAAAACATGCCTGCGGTATTTTGATCACCAACGTCAAACTGTCACTATGTTCAGATGAACACTTTCCTGTTATAATAAGGTACTCTGTGGATGAACACACATTAGGGTGCGGCCAGAGTGCATTCAGATTCAGATGTTTGTGTGATGAATATGAGCATTTGTACTCCAGTTATGGGTGTTTAATATGTATTTATATAAATATACTTATACATGTACAGTATATGTATTCTATCAGTTACCCTAGCATTCCATAACACAAGCCTTATAGTGCTTACTTTGGGGCTAGGCTAATTGGTGTGAGTGTCCGAAATATTTTTATTTATTTATTTATGGATAATTTTCCCTAAAAGTCCCTACTTGCACAGAGAAAATTATCCGACTGAAAAATACTGAAAGGGATATTTCAGTATTTTTTTGAGGTGCTTTGGTATTTTCGTAAAATTTATTCTGGTCACACTGCTGACCATGCTTGTGATGTATCCGAACGCATAAATTGTTTTGTTAGCATATTCTCGGTCTCTTTTACTCCTATGGAAGTGTTGCTTTGATTTTTGAGCTTCCTTTTCCTTCCTTCAGTTCATAGCTACTTTTAGTCAATTTTGTTCTGTTATGTGAATTATCTTTTATTTTAACCATTGTATGAATTAAGGCGAGTCGTTATTTTATTAATATTATTAACCAACTAGTATTATGAATGATGGAATGTTCACATTTGTTTGAAAACGTCAAGGGGGAGAGCAATCTCATTCTCATTGAGGACACCGTGATCACAAAGAACTTCAGCTGTTCAGGTAAATTCATTAATTTATTCTGAAACCATTCTTTAACGAAATATGTAACTGGCGGAGAAAAAAGCTGAGGATTCGGTCTGGTGAAATTTGCATCATGAGGTTAGTTTAGAAAAATCAATACCTACCGTGAACTCTAATAATCAGCTGTTCAAGGGGTGCGGAGAGGGGAGTCAGAATGTGTGACCGTGACTGGTGTTGCGCTTTCGTGTTTCTGACGCGTTGTGATGATATGAGCCACATGACGGGCGTCGGTCGGCTATTTTAGATTACCTACCTACTTGCAAACCATAACACAAAAAAGTTACTACTGCCAATGATGATTTTCTATGCATAATGTAATCTCATCCCTCCATGCTCAATATACGCAGTTCTCGAAACACTTTCTTAATAAATGACTCACTAAGCAATTTATCTTACTACCTGTAACTATAACCAGTTTCTATTACAACTGATTCTGAAACTGCAAACTACCTACAAGATACCCATTTTGGTTCTCTAGATACATATTTTTTATACCTATTACTATTATTTATTTACAATCATCAAACAAACCATCAGACCAGCATAGCTAGACTAATTCTTACTGTATCACCTACTTCTTTATTATTCTATTTTCATTAATACAAAAATTGTTACTGCATGATTCTTATTAATCTTTAGTTAATAACTATTGCAGAATGTGGTGTCAAAGAACAGAATTGGTTGTGTCTCCAATGTGGGGTAGTGAATTGTGGGCGCTATCTCAATGGTCATGCAAAATTACATGCAGAGACAGAAAATCACCAGATTTGTATGAGTTGTGATGTTTATTCAGTTTATTGGTAAGTTGTATGGAAAATCTACTTAGTTTTTATTGTTCTATAAAAACTAATCTACTTAGTTATATGTTTTATCATTATAGAGTATTCTAAACTACTTATATGACTATTATTGTTATCTTTACAGCTACAAATGTGATGATTATATTTCAAATGATACAGAAAATGAAGTCATAGGGAAAACAAGACAAAGCATTATGCAGATTACTATGCAAAATGAAACATATGGTGATGATGAAAATGAAAACAGTGGGCTACAGCAAAGCAGTGAAAACAGTAAAGAGGTCACTGGGGACAGTAATATTTCTACAGTAAAAAACTCTGCAAATACAAATGATAAAATCATACAATCATCAAATGATAAAATCATACAATCATCAAATGATAATCTAGGAGAAAGCACAATTGCAGAAGTTACTTCTGATAGCAATTGTAGTAGTACACCTAATTCCAATTGTATGCCAGAATGTAGTGAAAACAAACCTATAAAAAATACAAAGGTTAATAATTGCTCATCCAATATTTTTCAAACTTTGTTTTTCTGTAGTAGTGAAATGTTAAAATTATGTTGCTTTTTCATGTTACAGAATTTGGATGAACCCATTAGAAGTCTAAGACCTCGATCACGAAAAAGATCTCATTCAGAAGACAGCAGCTCAGCTGAAAACAATTCAACAGCATCGTCTAGGAATAAGAAAATGTCTCCATGCAATGGAAAGAGTCAGAGGGAAAAGAAAATTGTAGGGTTAAAAAATTTAGGCAACACATGTTTTATGAATGCTGTTTTGCAAAGTTTGAATAATATACAAGAGTTTAGTTGCTACTTTAGCCAGCTGCCATCGCTAGAGATGAAGACTAATGGGCGAAAGGTATACCACTCAAGGAGTTACACCAGGCAAGAAATGCATGATGTAGTTATGGCTGAGGAGCTTCGTAAGGTAATTGTACTTTTTGGGCAGTTTACAATCTCACAAGTTATCCTTTTCACACAATTCAAATGATACAGGATCACATTTCTAGGTTAAGTTGGTTTGTTATATAAATTACTACCATTATTATTAACAGCTATATACTTATATATTACTGTATGTATGACAGGTGCTAATCAATTTAAATACTGGTGGCTGCGGATCAAAGGGTGCTATCTCGCCAGAGTGTTTGTTTCTTGTCATTTGGAAGGTAGTGCCGAGGTTCCGAGGCTACCAACAACAAGATGCACACGAGTTCTTACGCTATATGCTTGACAGGTATTATTTTAGACTTATAATCAAGTTAATAAAGTAAAGCTAAATTATTCTTAAACTTTGGCAGAAAGCTATCAAAGCATTTAGTTTAGATAATAATTCTGAAATAATTTAATAGAATATTTCACAAAAATATGAGAATTTAAAATGCTTATAATATATTTATGCAGGCTGCACACAGAATTGCTACAGTTATTACCACCGGATCGTGCTGAAGTAGGATTTCTTTCACGAACACCATCAGCCTCTATTGTTACGGCTGTATTTGGTGGGACATTGCAAAGTGAGGTCAGTTGAGAAGAAATCCAGATAATTAATTAAGAGTATAAATATATTATGTTTGAAGATGGGGTTGGGGGAAGTAGATGCTTACCGCAAACACATCTTGCCTAATTCCAAATTAACATCGCGAAACTAACTGCTCCCTGAGCATGATTTTAGTGTTTATTGTATGGGTGAATTTCTACATACCACTGTGATTTGTTACAAAGACAAACAAAGAATAAGTTAAAGTAAACAATAATACATTATTGAAGTGAAAACTTCTTTAGCGGCGTTGTACACTTTTTTTGTAATGGGTAAAAACTGTTAAACTGGCGTCAGGACACGTGGCCTGATCGCGTCAGTCCTGACGTCCTGATAAGGTCACGTGTCCACGTGACTTAATGGAAAGTTAGTAATATGAAAACTATAAAATTGGAAAGGATGTTGACTTTCAATATATTGGACGAAACATAGTAATATTTTATTTTATCGTATTATAATAATAAATCTCTAATTAGGTGGCAGCTTTATTGCGAAGAAAATGCATTTTTTTACAATAGATGTCGCTAGGTGCGCTTAAATGTGATTCATGTAAGTTGATTTTTCTGAGAGATAAACTTTTTAATGTAATCAATCAATGTCATGTTTGTGTACGATAGCGCAAATTAATAAATATTGTATTCCACCACATAAATGATAGTACTTTTACTACTAGTGATAATTAAAGCAATTCATTCAAAATTATTCCCTAACCATTCCAAAATATCAAAAATGCACAACATTAATATTCAAGTTTTCACTTCTGCGGGCACTCCCGGAGTGCAACCCGTCGTTTTTTAATAAATATACCAGGGTATGGCCTGGGCCTGTAAAAGATTAGAAACATTGGGATTAATACAACAAGTTATCGCGCTTTATACTCATCCCTAAAGAATTACACCTAAATTTTGATGCAGTTTCCCAACTAGATTGCTAAACTATTAAATTTGTTTGCTTTTAAAACAACTTCTGAAAGATCATTTATCACTGTTATTTTTACATCTAGAATATTTTTTTTGCTAATCAGTTGTTATTATCAAAGAATGTATATTATCAGTGGGTATAATCTAATGTCTCCATATACAATTAAATATGTATAGGAAATAGGTTACATTGAATTGTACTAACATAGTTACTAAGTTTAAATGTTACTATAGTGCGGCCAACGAAAAAATGCGATTCTGACAGGTCGTGTCAGTTCCTTATTTCGACAGAATAAAGTACACTAGATCTAATAAAGAAGTGGTTCAAAAATTAACTCGAATGCTATCACCATAAGGAACTGAAAAGACCTGTCAGAATTGCATTCTTTCGTTGGCCGCACTATAATCCTCTTTGGACTATATGCTCTGAAATAAATAATTATTGTTGTTATAACATATTTCAAGGTGCGATGTCTAGCGTGCGGTACTGAAAGTAAAAAGTTCGATCCTTTTCTTGACCTATCGCTTGAGCTGCCCGAGTCTGGACGCCACGACGATCCCGTGTCACTAACAGACTGTCTATCGAGTTTTGTACAGGTACGTAATTGAAAACAATGGCCAAAACACACTTATGAACTGCGACTCCACCCAACGGCACGCCACGCGTGTTCCAATTAGGGTTACCCTTTAGGAATTTCAAAAGCCCGGGCAAAAATCCTGACATTTCGAAAAAAGTCCGGACTTTTTAGTCACAAAATGGTATCTTTAATCAGTTAGTTACAATAGTATGGTATTTAAATCAATATGTACACTGATTATTCATATTTAATGTAATTTAGAAAATCCGGACAATTTAAAGATCCGGACTATAGTCTAAAAGTCCGGACATGTCCGGTCTAATCCGGACGGATGGTAAACCTAGTTTCAATCAAAATGTACTATTCTCTATGATCAGAATCACATTAGGGAAATGCGACGCGACGTGATACGCCATAGAAAATACGCGTGGCGTGGCGTGGGATGGCGTCGCGTTTCATAGGCCTGTTTCTGCCTTTACAGTCTTTTAAATTTCAAGGGTGTCCTCCGAGCTGAGAGAATTTTGAGAAATAGGTATTTGAAAAACTATTGCTGTCACGCGTTGCAGTGTTTTTTTGGCCTCAAAAATGTAACATCCACTTTTTATCGAACATTTAGATTCAATAGGTTATTGCAAATGCACGAGTAGAATACCCAGGCGTCAATTCTGTATAGTTTTTTTTTAATCTATACTAATATTATAAAGCTGCGAGTTTGTTTGTTTGAACGCGCTAATCTCTGGAACTGCTAGTCCGATTTGAATGATTCTTTCAGTGTTGGGTAGTCCATTTATCGAGGAAGGCTATAGGCTATATTTTTTTTTTCAAAATTAGGGATCCGTTATAAAATTGCTATTATGTAACACAAGGTGTAAAATCGAAAACCTATTTTTGCGTAAAATAGGTTTTCGATTATACAATAGAACAAAATGATGTACTACGGGTTTGTAGATCCCATTAAGCCCTACAAAAAAGTCCGCGAGAACATATATCTAGCTATCATGGTTTAATCACAATAACCGATTTTGTGTTCAAAATAATTATTAAATCGTCTGAAGTAAAAAAACTACGTTAAATATGTATCGTAATATTAATCTTTATCGAATTTAAGCATTATGTTATGAAGAGTATTTATGTAGAAGTAAAATACTTTTTGTTTCATTTCAATCGGATATTTCTTTTAAAAGTTATCACGTGTGTAAGACGTGTGTACCAACTCTTAGGTACCTATATATTTTATCTCGGTATTTCCACGGAAACGAGAAAAACGCGGGTGAAACCGCGGGGCACGGCTAGTCTTTAATATTACGTGACCCTCAAAGGGGTCAAATAACTGAAAATAATTCCTACAAAGAAAACTGTACGTGATTGAGATTTATTCGTATTACAGGCTTTTGAAGCAATTTCTAGCGCATAATATCATGTTTTTTTTATCAAAAATGATAATAGAATCCCAAAGAAAAAGTTTTTATCGAAATCAGTATTTTTTTTTTATAACTTTTCTAAGTCGAAATAGAATTTCTGTCTACTACAAATAGGTTCCTGATAAAAGAAAAACATTACTTTCAAGTCCGGCCTAGGTTTAGGGGTTTAAAAATAGTGACAACCCTTGTCACTATTTTTATCTTGTGTGATATGTAAACTAAAATCAGTTTCTTTTCATTTTCAATATTCATTTATTGATTGATTGTTATAATTATGTATATATTATTCATATACATAATTATAACAATCCATACTAATATAAAATATCATAAATCCGAAAGTTTGTCTGTTTGCCTATTACCTTTTCAGGCTTAAATCGTTTATAGTAGTAGAGATAGTTTAAGTCATGTGAAATAGGAAAGTTTCTATGCAACCTATTTTTCCACACAGACGAAGTCTAATGTAGGGTCATGTGTGGTGTGGGAAGCGGTCAACCTTCGTTAAGCCGTTGCATAAATCCTCTCCACGCTTGGACACGTATTTTTTTATTTGTATTTCATCTTAAATTATAAATCAACTATACAGAATTGACGCCTGGGTGATCTACTCATGCATTTTTAATAACCTATCGAGTTTAAATGTTCGATAAAAAGCGGATGTCACATTTTTGGGGAAAAGAAACTCTGTGCATTGGCAAATACTGTGCGATAGGGACAACAGTAGTAAACGCTGCGCTGAAAATTGCATATAAAAATTGCAAAATACGAGGTTTGGCTCTCGACGATTTGCTTCTCGAAAATTAAACATATGTAAAATAAAATTTCCTAATAGGGTCCTGATTAGCAATATTGTATATTTAAATTTATTAATATTATTTCATTTTTCAAATCCTAAAACAACATAATATCAAACAATTCTTCATTGGGATTACAAAATCTTAGGCCTTTTAAAATGAATGAGTTTTGATGTAAATTTGTAGAGGACATAAAATTGGAAAAAGAAAAATAAAGCATGTCTTTTTAAGTAAGCCATAAGTTCTTTCTAAATAGCTTGAAAAACATAGAGTGAAGTAGATAATTTTTTAGAAACATAGTTTTTAATTCTTGTAATTGTGAACCGTGCTGGTTTGCAGCTAGTCTAGTGCAGTTTGTGTCCTTACTTAAAATAGGATATTGGAAACGGCAGTTAACTATTAATTGAAATTTTTAAGGTATTTGAAGTTTTTTTTATGCTTAATAGGCAAGGCGTTTGACCACAAATTACCAGTTATCAGACAAATGGCTATAGTACATTTCACATTTTTTCAGGTGGAAGAATTGGCAGATACAGAACGTTACTTCTGCAGTAGTTGTAAGTGTAAGCAGAAGTCGACGAAACAGTTTTGGATACGCAGACTACCCAACGTTCTGTGTCTACATTTGAAACGGTTTCGGTGGCACAATTACTTCAGGTAATGTTATTGCTGGTCGAGTATTTTGCTCCATAATCTGACGCGTTTGGCAATTTACATCTTTATGTATTTCTAATCGAAAGAAAGAAACTAGAAAAAAGTGACACTGCGGCAGCATTGAGATATAAAAAGCTGAGATTAATAATTTATATAGAAGGAATGCTAAAATAGCAATATGTGGTAAAATAAGATGGTACAGAGCTGGAGTGTAGTAAAATATGGAGTAAAAATATGAAACTTGAGGACAGGCGCGCTATGCTCGATATGACATTTCTCTACGATGTTTGCAATAGACTGCACTGAGCTTGCCTCTTAATTTTTAACACTACACACCCACTACCCGTACCAGACATACACATCTTTCTTTTTCGCAATTCCTGCATGTCGCACAAACTATTCACAAAACTCAGTTGTTTTCGAGCGCAAAGTACATACCTTAAAAAATTCACGGCTGTTGACATATTTACTTGCAAAAGTAAAGCATCTTTTAAAAAACAACTTTTAGGGCTGTTGGTTCATTGGTAATATACAAACAAAAATCATAATGACACATGCATACACACACATACACACACATATACACACACATACACACATATACACACACACACACATACAATGGCGCGCGTGCATTGCACACATCTCGCCCTTGTTTGGTAGAGGGTATTCTAAACTATTATGCTATAACTAAAAAATGAAAATCCGTAATTGGCATTAAGATAAACTATTTTGTAAAACCTGTTTTATATTAAGAAAATGCTGTGGATTTTGGTCTAGAATTAAATAAATAAAAATAAAATAAAAGTTAAAATATACACTTCTGGACACATCTATTGGCCCACTTTAGAGTTTAGGTTTCGATGGCCCCTACCGAAATATGATTGCTAGATTGAACAAAAACTGTTGATGCAGTTTTAAACCTGATAAATTTTACCATCTTTTTCGATCGTATTGTTTTAAATTTGAATTCAGAATACCATACGACATGGAGCTACGCCTAACAAGTCGGATATGCGCCTTGTTAAAGGCAATTGATTTTTGAATAAAAAACATGTTTTATCAAATAAAGGTTTAATTTAATAACGCGTCTTGCCTCCATGGGCATCTACCACAGCTCTCATACGATTAGGCACAGAGTTTATCAACCGCTCTATGAAATTTTGAGGGATCATCTCCCATTCCTCTTCTATGGCAGTTTTCAACTCCTGCATCGTCTGGGCAACTGGCTGACGAGCCCTAACACGTCTTTTTAGCTCGTCCCACATGTGCTCAATGGGGTTCATGTCTGGGCTTCTGGCTGGCCAGTCCATAACTGTGATGTTCACATCCCGAAGATATTCCCTGACGATGCCGGCCGCATGGGCTCTTGCATTATCATGCATAAAAAGGAAATTTGGGCCCATATAGTCCGCGTATGGTATCACGTGAGGTTCTAAGCACTCACGAATGTACCTTTCAGCATTTAATGTTGGCAGCCGTGGTCCTGTCCAACCTCAAGTTGAGTTTTGCCGCTCGCGGATATACCGCCCCAGACAGTCCATGAGCCACCGCCATAAGCAACCCTCTCTTCAAAGCAGCATTGTGCGAAACGCTCTCCCTTACGTCGGTAGACCTTCTTCCTTCCATCATTGCCATGTAACACAATTTTAGACTCATCAGAAAAGAGTACACGGCTCCAATCTTACTGTGTCCAATTTAAATGACTGCATGCGAAATGAAGGCGCGCTGTTCGGTGGACTCGCGTTAGTTTGGGCCCATTAGCTGGCTTATGTGGTACCATATCGCGTTCTTTTAACCTTCTCCGAACAGTTCGAGCGCTCACAGATACTCCGTGGAAGTCGTGAATTTGTTTTTGTATCTCAATGGAGGTAAGGTGACGATTTCTCAAGCTGGTCGTCACGATGAATCGATCCTGCCTTTCAGTTGTGACCCGAGATCGTGGCCTTCCTTGGCGACGAACAAAGCCGCCAGTCTCTAGGTACCTCCGATAAACATTTCGGACCGCAGATCGACTTAAATTAAGTTGAGCACTCACGTTTCTTTGGCTGTGTCCGGCCTGAATAAGTGCCACAGCTTAGGCGGCGACTTCAGGTGAAGTATCCATAGATTATTGATAGAACCTCACCTTAATGTTAAGAATAAGTAATTTTTGTTGCAAAACCAAAGATTCAATCACTTTTTCAAGAATTAAATCCAAGTAAACCAATAAAACCAAGTTTTCTTAGTATTCGATTGTTTGATATCAACAAACAGGCTCCAAATTGTCTTTTGTTTCTTTAAATTCTGTGTTCGAAATTCAAAAAAAGACTATTGAATGAAATTATGAATGTGCCAGGTTCGAAACTGCATAAAAACTTTTTGCTCAATCTAATATAAAATTTTAGCTAGGACCAAACGAAACTGAAAATACAAGGTGGGCCAATAGATGTGTCCAGAAGTGTACATGTAAACAGGAAAGTACCTATATTGTTATGAAGTACGTCAAATTTTACATCAAATATTTTCAAAGTGCCAACGTCAACTTTAAGTATAGAATAAACCAGTATTACAACACAACAATATGAATTCAGTTCGTCCTTCTTTCACCAATAAGTTCAATAATATATTGGCAAGAGAGAGATAGATATTGCGCTCTTCGTTCTTAGTTTCGTAAGTTAGACAACAATGTTTTGACACCAAATTGAATAAAAGTAGTAAAAATATGCTGAAAGCTCACTTGCTCAATGTTAAAACTGTCAAGAATTAAAAGAAACAAAAGTATTTCTTTTTAACGGTTTTCAGTGTCCAAATAATGAAATTAACCAAAAAATACTACCAAATCTTGGACAACTTTGAAAAAAAACAGAATAAAGTATGACCTACTGTCTGACTTCCACCCGTTTGACTGCCCTTTGGTTAGTACAGTACCGATTTAGTCAAACAGTTTTTATTTTAGCATTCCTTCTATGATAGTTATTCTTCTATGATAAAAACAAATATACTCCTAATCGCCTAACAAAAGTACTCCAAAGACGTCCGAGCGGCGTTGTGTTAAACATATGTATGAACTTATGCAGATAACATTAAAACATGTGTTCAAATTCGCACGTTATAACGTGGATATAAGATTCAATTTCAATTGTATACGAGAGAGAAAAAGAGAGTTTGATTTCGGTGCGAAAGATACATACACGATCATGTATTACGACGAATATTTTGTTGTAGCTAATAAAATGTGATTAATTAGCAATACTATAGAAAACGCCAAGATTGTTGCGTAATTTTGTTAGTTTAAAGGAAAACATACCTGAAATACTGAATCTGGCGGCCAAACGCCTAACTAGCTATGGCTATCACTTTCGCTTGCGATTTCATTTTGTTATTTCTGACCGCCCAAGGTTTTCAAATGTTTTGCCCTCTTTTAATAGACTGCGCGTGGCGTATATAAAAACCTAAGGCTGCCAGAAATAACAAAATGATATTGTAAGCGATAGCCATAGCAATCCCGTTAGGCGATGACGCCCTGGTATCATTTGCACAGATTTTAACCGAATACTTTGTCATTTCATAACGTTCTAATCAAAAGCGCAGTTGAAAAAACTACGCACAATCGGCGCGTTTGCCTATTTTTGTTTCCGACACTGCGTTTTTGAGTCTACTTGTTTTTATACGTCAATGTTGCCATAAAACGACAAAGATTTCTAACCTGGTCCATGATGGGCGTCAACTAAAGTCAAATGGGGTTAATAGTTAAAGTGTAACGTTATTTTATATTCATTCTTTCATGACATAAAGAGGAATGCAATTTTCAACAGGGACACGAAAAATCTTCGTATCTCAGTGATTAGAGCACCCGTTGGGATCGCGAATGGTCGGCGGTTCGTATCCCATCTGAAACTTTGTTGACTATTGGAAAAGTAGTGAGAAGTTTAAGTATTTCTTATTTTGTATGAGTGAGAAGAAAAAACAAACGAGCGAGCCTTACGGTAGTCGCGTATGATGTGTAACATTTGAAACCTCTCCTTATATTAGTAAAAAAAAGAAATAAAACCTACTACAAAAGGAATAAGCCGTTTGAACATTATATTCTAAAATCAAATCAAATAGCGCGCGCTTTCGCGAATTCCTTGTACACACTTCCATCCTATTTCATAAAATCGCTCCCACAAATTGCAGGAAAGCCAGAGGAAAGATGTTACACATCAAAAAACAAAACGAAAATAAAACAGATAGCCTTCACAACCTACCTCTGATAAATAATAAATAACAAACAAAAGCTTAATTTTTACATAAACTGCTGTTATAAATGCATGCATAATTATAAATGTTTTTGATTTATGACATACAAAACTAAGCTGATATGGCAATATTTATTAGCTCATATGCAATTTAATAAAAATGGAAACAGTCCAGTCTTAAGCTCAATTACACTTTGTTGTTAGCCCGACTACGTTTGCAAAAGTTATTGAAATAAACGACTAATGTCCGTATTATAGAAACATTCTCAGTGATTGATCTAGTCTTGAGCGTAGTTAGAAAGAGATGTTGCTATGTATAGCACATAGGGGCATCCCTTTTTAACGCTACTCAAGTAAAGATCAACACTTAGTTGTCATTCTGTAATAAGGGCCGAAGTGTAAATAAACGGATTCTAGTACGCCCGTATTCGGGCAGTTTTTCCTTTTGGTTACCCGACACTGTCTTCCAGCCCGTATTCCAGTGTAAATATTTCTTCTTCTTCTTCTTTCCGAATATGGGCTAACAGCCAAATGTGTTTGAGCCATTAGCTACATATGTTGTGACTGTAAATTCTCCTCTACAACATCTTATACATTTAGGCCCATATTATAGAAAGATTCTCAGTAATTAATCTAATCTTGAGCATAGATAGTATACTATATATAATACTGTACTCAAGTAAAGATCAACACTTAGTTTTCATTCTGTAATACGAGCTTTAGAGTCGCATTTTATTTGCGATCTGACAATAGTTTAAAACATTGTCCGTGCAGAACTAAAGTGGACACTAGTATAACGTTCCCACTGCGCGCGCTGGACATGTCCCGGTTCGTGCTCGCCAACGTGCCGGACACGCGGCGCTCGGGGCTCGGCACGCAGCTGTACGACCTCGCGGCCGTCATCGTGCACCACGGCTCCGGGTGAGTGGTCTCCACACAGACACTGGGGCAGCGTGCGGGCCATAGTGCCGGACACGCGGCGCTCGGGGCTCGGCACGCAGCTGTACGACCTCGCGGCCGTCATCGTGCACCACGGCTCCGGGTGAGTGGTCTCCACACAGACACTGGGGCAGCGTGCGGGCCATAGTGCCGGACACGCGGCGCTCGGGGCTCGGCACGCAGCTGTACGACCTCGCGGCCGTCATCGTGCACCACGGCTCCGGGTGAGTGGTCTCCACACAGACACTGGGGCAGCGTGCGGGCCATAGTGCGGGACACGCGGCGCTCGGGGCTCGGCACGCAGCTGTACGACCTCGCGGCCGTCATTGTGCATCACGGCTCCGGGTGAGTGGTCTCCACACAGACACTGGGGCAGCGTGCGGGCCATAGTGCCGGACACGCGGCGCTCGGGGCTCGGCACGCAGCTGTACGACCTCGCGGCCGTCATCGTGCACCACGGCTCCGGGTGAGTGGTCTCCACACAGACACTGGGGCAGCGTGCGGGCCATAGTGCGGGACACGCGGCGCTCGGGGCTCGGCACGCAGCTGTACGACCTCGCGGCCGTCATTGTGCATCACGGCTCCGGGTGAGTGGTCTCCACACAGACACTGGGGCAGCGTGCGGGACACGCGGCGCTCGGGGCTCGGCACGCAGCTGTACGACCTCGCGGCCGTCATTGTGCATCACGGCTCCGGGTGAGTGGTCTCCACACAGACACTGGGGCAGCGTGCGGGCCATAGTGCGGTACACGCGGCGCTCGGGGCTCGGCACGCAGCTGTACGACCTCGCGGCCGTTATCGTGCACCACGGCTCCGGGTGAGTGGTCTCCACACAGACACTGGGGCAGCGTGCGGGCCATAGTGCGGTACACGCGGCGCTCGGGGCTCGGCACGCAGCTGTACGACCTCGCGGCCGTTATCGTGCACCACGGCTCCGGGTGAGTGGTCTCCACACAGACACTGGGGCAGCGTGCGGGCCATAGTGCGGTACACGCGGCGCTCGGGGCTCGGCACGCAGCTGTACGACCTCGCGGCCGTTATCGTGCACCACGGCTCCGGGTGAGTGGTCTCCACACAGACACTGGGGCAGCGTGCGGGACACGCGGCGCTCGGGGCTCGGCACGCAGCTGTACGACCTCGCGGCCGTCATTGTGCATCACGGCTCCGGGTGAGTGGTCTCCACACAGACACTGGGGCAGCGTGCGGGCCATAGTGCGGTACACGCGGCGCTCGGGGCTCGGCATGCTGCTGTCCTTCCTTCTAACAATTTTTTATCTATTCGCTGATCAACTCTAATTTTCGAGTTGCGCATGACACGTGCGCAATTTAAACGCATACCTATCTGTTAATTCTAGGGCGGGTTCGGGGCACTACACCGCGTTCGCCATAAACGAGGAGCAGTGGTTCCACTTCAACGATCAGACAGTGCGCGCGACAGACGCTGCCACTGTAGCTTCATGCAAACCCTACATATTGTTCTACATTAGACGCGAGTTAACGCTGCCAACGGCTTCGTGACTGACGCTTTTATAGCCACAGCGTTTATACACGCGAGTTTCTTGTAACGCTTTGAAAAGAATAATTTTAGAACTCATGACGTTTTCTAAGTGGGTTTTGCACGCGGGCGCTTTCCGAATTAGAGATATTTTTTTATGAGTTTGGACGTTTATGAATTTGAGAGTGTTTTTTACGATCGACTAGACGTTGAGCGTAAGAGGTTAAGTTGAGAAAGTTTTAAAGCGTTTGACGTGCGTCGGGATTTTAACGCGCGTAGATAAAGCACTCGCGTAAACGCACTCCCACATAGATGCATTCGACAACTGTTTTAAAATCTGCATGGACACAGACGATTAGACTGATTAGAATGCTCTGGATTCAAAGGTCTTAACTACTAAACACAAATGTAAGGGTCGATGCGTATTCAAAACGTAGAAATTGTGCGATGCTTTATGCAATGCCAATTTGTTTCAATAAAAATTTAAAGAGGAAGTGGTTGGTTAAATATAAATATGGTAAGCTTTAGCAATATGATATAAGAACAAAAGATACCTACGTAAGCACCTATAAACTTAAATCGTATAAAAATATTTCCTTTAATTCTTTCAAACCGCGTAACGATCCCTTTTCATACACAACTAATTTCGTACGGGAATGGGACAGAACCATATCGAACTTTCGTTCGTGATAAAGTAATGGTATATACTTGTTTTTTTTTGGGATTACTCGTACTTGTTCTGAAAGGTATAAATCTCTTTCTTTGATTTGGTCGTTGTTAATATCGATCTTAAATGATAATCAAATATGAAGCGTCTAATCAGGAAATCGTCTTTGCTGCGTAACTGTGTAAATAGTCGTGGTGAATGGATATGCGATGGTTTATGAAGCCGGATTTAAGGTACTCTGTCATTTAAAATGTCCTTTTAGATATACCATATATTATGTATGAAATCATTGAAGTTTGACCGCAACGTTGTCTTTAGATTATCAGTACGTTCGTTCACTACCCTATACAAAAAATTTAATAATTTGAGTTTACATAGCGGCAATCAAAATCATAGACAAAGTTTGCTCAGTAAACTTTTTGCATGTAAACTGAGTCATCTTTATTGTCCATGGCTATGCTCAAGATGTTTGCCGATAGCTATATTTACTTAAATGTATATGGAAAACATTAATAAATAATGTTTAGTGAAAGGTCCTTCTACTCGACGACTGCATAATGCAAGAATATCCGAACTATAACCGCCTTATTCCAGAACGCTGACTAAAATTACTTAAACCTGGTTTAAAAATGCTACTGCCATCTTTGTTAGCTAAAATAGGACAAAGAAAGCGTTAGGTTTAAACCGAGTCTAACTTTAGTCCACGTTTGTAATAAGGCGAAAACAGTTTTTGGTCTGTTTAAGTGGCAGAAGCTATTATGGTGATTCTAACGTTAATGGTGGCCGCAGACGACATACATTACTTTGTTTGGCATCATGATATTCACACTATTCTGTTCAGTCTGAAAAAGAAACCGATTTTATCTTATCTCTCGTGTGCAAATAGGGTTACCATCCGTACGGATTAGTCCGGACATGTCCGGACTTTTAGGCTATACTTCATCTGAATATTTAAATTGTCCTGATTTTTTAAATTACATTGAATATAAATAATAAAGGTACATATTGATTTAAATACCATACCATTGTAACTAAGTGAGTAATGGTACCATTTTGTGACTAAAAGTCCGGACTTTTTCGAAATGTCAGGATTTTTGTCAGGACTTGAATTTCTTCAATGGTAATCCTATGTGCGAACACCGTTATATTTGTTTGTACTGTTTGGAGCAGATAGTGTAATTTTTTATGGCGTATTCCAGAGGAATGGCAGAGCAATAGCTGTTTGATATATATTAGGTACCTGTTTAAATAAACATACTATGTAATTAGATTGATAAGCAGAGATACCTACCTCCATGTAATCACAAACTAATATATCATAATTTTTATTCATTCTTTTGTATGCAAACGGATTCAACGAAGCCTACAATTCATGTTATAATAGTGAGCTTGTATTACAAAATATTTTGACAAAAATGTGATGTTAGTAATAACTGCTTCATTATGTTGTGCTAATTATTCGCTATTTTATGTGAATTTTGTATTTGTATGATGCGATACTATAATTGTCGCCCATGGATTATAAATCGTGTACAGACAGACACCCACAAATATTTTGGAGTAGACAAGGTAATATTAATTTATTTCCTGGAGCATCCTTTAAAATCTTTTCCTCAGCACTGATATTTTTATGAGTCCTCTATTTATGGTTTAAAGAAATAAAAGTGAAAGTTTTTATGGTAAAATTATCTAAATCAGTGAGAAAATCACTAAAATTCAGTCACCTAGTCGGCTTCAATATAATGTGACTGTGCTTGGCCAAAAGATTTTTTCATCGTGTTGCGCCTTATTCATAGTTGTTAGTTATATTTTCTTTTACCGTAGTTAAGGTCTAAGCGTATCTTAGATTATGTACACAGTACCTTATGTAACAGTGAATGCCTTATGCCTTCTAAAGACAGATTATAACAAGTTTATTTGTGAGTAGAAATACGCATTGTAAAACAGTAACACAGTTCGTTGATTTGACCTTGTATTAAATAAAATTCAGAAAATACTTTACACAGTTAAGATTCTTATGATTGATGTTGCAATATGTGTAAAACGGCATACCTATCCATTCTGCATTTCATTAACATAAATTTGAGTGTACGTTACCAGTGTTTTGCTTAATATGAACTCTTATGCTACACGCATACAGATCTTAATCGCATGATAACATTCCTATGAACTAATTATGGGTTTATGAGACTTATTTTCATCGCATTAGGCATTGTGATACCGCGACCTTCTTGTGTGTTAACATTAATGATATGAAGAAGACTCATGTATATAACGATTTTACTTGTCTGATCAATTTTTTTTTCGCAAGTACCTAATTTGAATAGCTGGTTTATTTTGTATAAGTACTTCAAATACTGGAAGTTGATAGTGATTGAATTTAATAAATTCGCTAATGTAAATTATGTTCTTTTATTTAACTCTAACTACCTATTTACAGCATTTAAAACAAGTGATGAAACGGCAGAACCAGGTTTGAGTTTTCGATTCTGTATCAATAGATAGTTGTAAGGATGGTATGCTGTTGGTGATCGCTCTGTATTCTTTCCACTCAGCTGGTTTTAGTAGAGACACATTTCTTGCCCACAGTCTGTTCCCAGCGTTGTCCTCTGGACACGCCAATTCAGTATTTTGGCTGTTTACTGTATTTTCAATTGGTATTAACTGAAATTCTTTACTCTCATCTATTTGCATATCTTTGTTTTCTTCATAAATCCAACTATTATTATCTAGCCTTTCGATGGGATTGCTAATGTTTTTAATTTCTCTAGGGGTTTTTGTTGGTATGACTATTCTCGGTCTTCGCCGATTTGCGAATTCTTTTTCGTAGTCTGGTTTATTATTAATATCTACGCCACTTAAGAAAATTTTGTTTTTATCAATAACTTCAGATATGAAAGAATTTCTTTCGTCTACTTTATTATCAGATATTCCATTGATCTCAGCTTCTGTTTTAATTTTCACATGATTTGTTTTTTCCCTATTGGCGTCGTCAAAACTTGCTTTTGCACTTTCAAACCCTGGTGCTGATTTTGTTGGATTAGTATGTTTAAATCTACTTCGCCTTTCTCTTGGAGATAGAAAAATATGACTTGACACACTGGTATCGCCTGATTTTTCATCACTACCGGCACCATTTCTAGGGTTTACTTCGCCTTCAAACCAACCGTTGATACGCTTATGACTACCTATACGATTTTTAATATATGTTTCTTCACATATACTTTTATCGGGTTCTGTTACCTCTGTAACAGTTGGTAATCTTGGGGACAATAAGTTTAATCGAGGAATGTAAGTAGCAGGGACAGGTGATCCAACTCTAATAATTTCCTTAGCATCACCGTCTGAATCTTCACAATAATTTTCTGAAGAATGCGATGTGGAGCTTGTACTCTCATGACATGGTAAGTTTACTAGTTCCAACGTATTTTTTTCTGAGAGTAAATGTTTGTTTTTTATTGAATATATCCATATTGTACTTTTTTTACTTTTGTTTTCATCTAAACTTAATCTATCACGAATATGTGTATTGCAAGTATTCCATCTATAATCCTCTGCGTCAGTACATTCAGTAATTCCTAAATCATCCAAGGAAGAATCAGAGCTGCCAAACGGCTTATTTATCACAGTAAAAAAATTACTATGATGATTTTTCGATTTGTATTTATAAGGATAGGCATCAGTTCCGTAAATACCCGAATTTACAAAATCTGCTATTACCTCTTCGAGTTCGTTATCTATATCGTCGTCGGATCGTGTTGTTTCTTTATTTCTATATTTAGTAGAGAACTCTACAGAATCATCAAGCGACTCATTATTTCCGTTCATGTTGTTCCCTTTATGATCGAATTTGTCATCTTCATCACTTGGATGATCATCTGAATCTTCAGAGTTTAATTCAATTACTTTAACTTGTGGAGTCTCATCATGAAGCCATCGCTGATTCATTACTCTATCAGAAGCTATCGTGTTTATTGGATAGTTACGAAAATCTGAAAAATAAATCAAGTTACGAAATTCAGGTCTGCTAAAATAAAACAAGTTTCAACGGTATATATGTCGTTCTAATACATAATGTATTAGAAACAGGTACCGCAATAACGCATCCGATATTATCGACCGATAATAACGCGCCCATAGGTGGAAGGCTTAAGAGCTTATTTGTTGAGATTTCGGACCTAAAAGGTAGACCCCTGAATTCACAATTGCGTGTTATTGTGGCCACAACCAAAAATAAAACAATTTAAAAATAAAGGGGGTGTTCTGTCTTCTAGACTTTTCTATCTAGTTTAAAATATTGTACCTATTATGGTGCCTACGAGCTACGGAAGCATTCCTTTGCGAATCTTACTAGCACTTGGCCGGTATTGTTTTTTATTCAAGTAGTTACAATAATGTTTTTGTCACTATGGTATGTTAGATAACATCGATGGTGTTTACTATTGAGCGCCAATGCCCATTAGCTATTTACTCTGGATGATGGATGACAGTATTGAAAATGCTAAGGTAAAATTGTATTTATTAGGCTCGGGAGTTGACTTAATTACTACAAGTGTTCAAAACGTTGATCGAAGCTAAGTTGTTGGAGGTTCGAAAGCTAAGACAAATACTTCTACGAGTATGCAGGTAACTACGATCTACACCACAAGTCATTGCGTATTTACCCTATGTGTTGTGGTTTATAAACCGTGGGTCAATAAAATCGGTCAATTTGTGAATTATAACACAACAATTAACTTTTGTAAAACTTGATGGTTTATTAATTTTCCATATATATTATGACATTGACAACAATAGAAAACAAGTTATTTTTCTTGAATGAAATTCATAAAATCATAAACAACCTTTCAATAAAGAGTTCCGAACACTATGGCTAAGAGGGTCTACCCTAGGGCGGTAGGCTGTGAGGAGCACAGAAGGCATTAGTTAGGGTCGCCCACGGAGCACCCCAGTGGGGGTGCTCCATGGGGTCGCCGCTCACCGGCCACACGCGACAGTCACAAACGCCGCTAGAAGCGGCTACAAAGGTAGCTGAAGCGCGCGACAGCCACTTGTGGCCGGTGGTTGACACATGCCGTCGGTGGCTGCTATTTTTTTTAACACATGCGTGCAGTATCATAATGGACTCTGACGAGGAAGGTTTAAAGTTGGGGAATCGCGCGAGTGGTGTGTGGCGGCGTTTCGTATCGGTGCATTAGTGGCCGGTGCGGGCCACAAGAAGCGAGCAACGACGATTTGTAGCGTGTGGCGGCCACCGGCGTTAACCGTGTGCGGCGGGTCCATATAAAATGTATCAAAACTATAGGAAATATGCCGGTGGCGGCGTTTTGTGGTTGTGGCCGGTGGCCCGTGTGCGGCGACATTTACTAAATTTGTATATGGCCCGGGCGCCAGATTTTAAAATACGCTCTGTATACCACACACCTCAGATTACAGAACTTAAGGTAGATAGAGCACACGGAACACGCAATGTCTGGCACCATAGCAAATACGTAGTCAAAAGTGAATATCAATTTGCATCAGTACATTACAACGCATCGTGTTGTGAATACGTCCTGTGAATGTTAAGTTTTTATCAAAACTGTGCCGCATTGTTCAAACAATGTAAAAAGAATTCACAAATGCAAAGTCTTTACTTTTGACTTTGTATTTGCTTTGGTGCCACGCATTGCGTGTTCTGTGCGCTCTATTTTGTACCTACCTTTACTATCTACCTTTTGTTCTGTAATCTGAGCCAGACACACAATGTTCTGAAATGACAATAACTTGCAGTAGAATTACCATACCATTAAATGTAGTGTTGCGGTTCACATTTTTGTAGGCATTTACTTTTTTCATGTCGATATCATTGAAAGTGTATGTAGGAAGCCAAATTAAATGTATTTCAGTATTACCTCGTTTTAGTTACACATTAATAAAATGTCGTAGTGTGTCATTCATGGACTATCACTTATGTCATTCATTTCATTGCATTAATCTCTTTAGTTGCGAAATCCTAAGTCTATGCTTTCCCCTGTGCAATAATTACACTCATGATTACACTACCCTCTTTCTCTCACTTTTATTTTGCAATAATAGCTCAATCTAGAAATTAAATTACCATTATGTGCTTACTGTCCGTCAGCTCTATATATTATCAACTGTTCTCCGTAAGCACTCTCAGTTTCATTTTGATGGAAAAGCTCTAAATGATAGACGACTTAGATTTACTTCTCACATATACAAATAACGTTTTAAGCATTACCGTTTTTATAGACGTACGAGTAGGTATAGGTATTTCACAGAATATCTTTTCAATTCCTAAAAATAAATTTAAAATGCATTTTTTTTGTATTTTAAACCAGTGACAGTAGGGACGAGAGAGGGTGGAACCAATTTTAGGTGTTAAAAGCGTATCTTACATGCGGTAGCGCGCCAGTAGAGGGCGTTAGTGTTGCGAAACAAAGCGTAAATGGATTGATTGCGCCAATTCGCCTCACAAAGGGAGCTGAAATTGCATTAAAAGCTCCGTGGCGCAAGCCATTTGGAAAAGCACTTACTCCATTAGAAACGTCCAAATAATGTTACCTTAGTGTGTTGTGCTGAAGTATACTGGAACATTGGAGTGGGAACTTTAGATCATTCATTAGGGATCAAAAACGTTGGGTACTTACTCACTAAACGTTATACTCACCTTCAGTAGGTTATCTTTGTGTTTTATATGGTTTTAGGTGTGTCAGGATTTGAGTTTAGTTTCATTACGATTTTACCTTGTTCTATACGTTCTTGGATATATAAGTATATCAAATAATTAGAATTATAACACGTTAAATTGGAAAATCGGAAAATGTTGTATATTCAATTTATTCTATCGGTCGATGAAAACTTCTTTAGCGGCGTTGTACACTTTTTTGGTAATGGGTGAAAAATGTTAAACTCGCGTCAGGACACGTGACTTAATCGAAAATTCGCAAGATGAAAACAAAACAATAAAATTGGAAAGGTTGTTGACTTTCAATATATTGGACGAAACATAGATAGTAATATTTTGTCGTATTATAATATTAAGTCTCTATCCAGGACGTCCAGGTGGCAGCTTTATTGCGAAGAAAATGCATTTTTTTACAATAGATGTCGCTAGGTGCGCTTAAATGTGATTCATGTAAGTTGATTTTTCTGAGAGATAAACTTTTTAATGTAATATAAATTGTCATGTTTGTGTACGATAGCGTAATAAATAAATATTGTATTCTACCACACAAATGATAGTACTTTTATACTGATAATTAAAGCAATTGGTGCAAAATTATTCCCTAACCATTTTAAAATATCAAAAATGTACAAAGTTAATATTCAAATTTTCACTTCTGCCGGCACTCCTGGAGTACAACCCGTCGTTTTATTTTCTTTCTATGATTGTGATGTCATTACTCCGTCATTGGGGCCGATTTTCAAAATTGTTTTTGTAATCGCAAAGGTACACCCAAGGTAGTCCCTTAAAAAAATTGGCAAGATCTTATCAAGGATTTCGGAACCGTGGACCGGAACGCTTCGCAGGATTTAAAATAGGATTGCTCCGGAGGTGGACACTTTTTTTATCAATTATGCAATGTGATACCGATGCAGTGTTCTCAGGAGTAAATATAAAAGAAAAACTTCATTCTCATTACTCGAGGAAGACACAATCATTTTTATAAAACCAAACAAAATCCGAATTTGAGTAAACAAATAAATAATGTTATGAACGAAGGCGGAATGTATATCACGCTTTTTTTAAAAGCCTTTGTATTTGAAAAAACGTTTTATTTGTTTGGTGATTGATTTTTGTTTGATGAAAAGTCCAAAATATTTTACTACCAATATCCACATACTAATTCAAATTTTTAGGCCCTAGAGATTTTAATAGGATCCATCAAAAGAACAAACTAGCTCTTTTCCAATAGATGTGACATAAACATTTTTTTATTTTTTTTATATAAAAACCGACTTCATAATAAGGTTGTGGGGGCGACATCTACGCGCCCCACATATACCTAGTTAACGAAGCAAGACTTGACACTCCATACCAACAGATGGCGCTTCCGGGTTTGCACTTAAAAGAGTATGGTAAACACCTACAGAGATCGCGCATAGAAATTCGGAGGCTAACACTTCATTAACACACTATCGACCGAGACATGAGCTCGACAAACCTCAGTCAGGCATTCCCCTCAGTTTCGAGTGGTCTAGAGGCTTCAGCCGGAGAGGAGACTTCCCCCGAGGGGAAATACCATCCACCTGGGATGCCTTTAGAGGTAGAGGCCAATTCTCAACTTGAGGTTCCTTCCTTCATCAAAACCCGGTCATCTGGGACCAACAGCATACACATTCAAAAGATAAACAACAACACAGCTCGGTGGAAGATCTTCCTTCTTCCCTGCTACAAAGTTTGTTAAGTCTAACTAACTGAATTGAAACCCGTTATCACAGATATTCTTAGACCTTTGTATTGATTTTACAAATGGTACGTAATATACCTATAATACAAATATTTAACTAAATGAAAATCCAAAATTGTTATTACAGCATTATTGAGCATGTAGGCCGTAAATAATTTCTGTCTATCCACTTTCCCGAACCCTTCCTCAGCTGGTCTATTTCACCATGAAAATTTTCAAGTACTTTCCTCTGTTTCAACCGGTTTTTTAAAATACTTGAATATATAGGTAGGTATACAGGAGTCTATATTAATATTTTAGTGTCATACCTATTGAATCTTCTAGGAACTGGAAATACCATCGGCTACTAGGTACTGGAAATACCTGAAAAGGCTTTTCTATCAGAATAAAATAATAAACCTCTATTTCCTTTGGACATTTTGTAGACGGTTTTTACGATAAACAGAAAGTTCCGTAGAAAAAGAGAAATTTAAATAAAACTTAACTTACCACTCTACCCGATAGGTGGCGTTGTAGTCATGTTTAAGGACAGAGTTCGCTATCCAACAGGCGTAATACTGCCCGATAAAAAATCAACCGTTAATAAATAAATAGTGGTTATAATAATAAAATAAACAATCACAATAATTGACCTAAATCGAAAACAATAATTTTATGAACAATGTAATTATTTACTTCACAAAAATAAGAAGTTACCTTTAAAGATTTCTTAAAAATAATTTCCGAAATGAAATATGTAGTTAAAATACACGCTTTCACAAAAAATAAAATGGAAAAGTCGTAAAACGAGCAATATTTCGCAACGAAGCCACATCCAACCAACACAGCATCTTGCCGTTTTAAAAGCTGCACTATCGCCGCAGCGGCACAGCATCGCATAAATTGTCCCGCCCGCCCCAGCTAATTAGATCACGGACGCCTGAGTGGCCCGCACTCATTGCGCGCTAATTCGCAAATTAGCCGCCGACAAAGCGAGCTTTTATTCGCTCCATTGCGACGCCTGATGTGTTTCATCTCTATATTTCAGCTTAATTTATGCTTTGTTCATTATCTATGTCGTGTTGATTGGATTAGTACCTACTAGCTACCTGTCTCTAAAATATTTATTGATAAGGAATTTTGGAACATTACCAAAGAAATACAAAGCCACTGTCTGGGGAAGTAACATACCTCCACTTTAGAGAAGATTTCAGTCTAATATCATTATTTTTCAGTCTTGTGCAGAAGTGACTGAGGTCTTCAAGGCATTAGAATGTTCGAAAATGTTTCTTAATACAAAACTACACGCTCAATAAATCACTGTAGCATGTAACCTAAATAAGTCACATTTACTCGTGTGTTGAAAAGACGAAAAAGCTCAGTTGATAAATTTACATCACGAAAAACGAAATACATTTTTTTTGGTTCACATTGATTTTCAGCTTACGTCGCAGATATAGGTAATATCAGTAGAGCGGTTTTCATATTCACCTCTACTTTAATTGCGTAGGTAGGTATCTAATACACACACCCGCTTCACTACATAGTATAAAGCAAAGTCGCTTCCCGCTGTCTGTCCCTATGAGGTGGGTTACACGATTAGTTTGGCATCAGTTCAGTTCATCAGTCCAGACTGATAGCAGACTGATGGACTGATAGACAGATTATACGGTCAGTCCCAGACTGATGACAGTCTTTCCAAGAACTTAGTCGCATGTGAACGTATTACGCGAAAAGCCATGGATCAATCTAAAAAACTACTACACACAACATAATAAATGCGTTTGCCGCGCCGACATTGTTTGTTCTGTGACGTTTGGATATTGATTTTAATTTCTAAAGTCTAATTTTAATTTGTTTATTTATAAGACTGAATTATAAGTCTGTTTTTTATTTTGATTATTTTATTTACATTTTTTATAAATATTTCCAACACTCACACAAATTAGCGTAGCCTCAAAGTAAGCACTGTAAAGCTTGTGTTATATGAGATACTAGGGTAACGGATATAATACATACACAGTACATATTATAAGTATATTTATATAGAAATACATATTAAACATCCATGATTGGAGTACAAATGCTCGTATTCAGTACACAAACATCAGACACCGGGATTCGAACCCGGGACATTTCGAGTCGGCGACACCATAAAACCCGGCGTACAAACCATTCGACCACGCCGGTCGTTGTATTACAAAACAAATCTGTGATTATGAGAATTACGAATGTTATCATTAGGACCAAATACTAAATCTAATACTTATATAAAATTCTCGTGTCACGGTGTGCGCAATTGAACTATATTCCGAAATGGTTCGACATGAACTGATGGCAAACTGTTCGTGTAAACCACCTCTATGTCTTTTTAATAGATAGAATGATTCAAGAGGATGTTTTATATGTATAATACATGCATAATATAGTAGAGAAACACTGATAATTTTAGAGGTTTTTAATGTAAGGTCGTAAATAAACACATTTTTTGCGCTTACTTTGCAAACGCTAGCTGAACCCTACGAGAGAGATCAAAATAATGTACTACTTGTACACCTTAAAAAGGTCTACAAAAAAGTCCGCGGTGGTATGTCTATCTCTTAGGGAAAACCCACAATAACCATTTTTTATTCTATACTTTTTACGAGAAATAATAGCTT